ATTCTATGAGCCATGTATTATCAGTATGTTCAAAATAAATTATCAGGAAGTTTATTTACTTACTCAAGGTCTTATAGCTGTAAGTGAAGAGCAGGAAGCACTGTGATACATGTCTAACCCTTGTAATTTTTTATAGAAATTTATTATTGAGACCTTGCTTTCTAAACTCAAAGTCTGTCTGGCACATAATATTTGGAACTAGTAGTACACCAGAAACTCAGGAACATATTGTTATTGCAATTCCATCCCAGATGCTGCCTTCATTATTGAACTTTTTATGACTGTTCTTTTTATGGCTCCTTCAGTAAATCTTAAAGATACACAAAGAAGAAAGAGGGTAGGATAACTTCAATTCAAGTTTTGTAAAAAAGAAATTTATTGCTTGTGATACCATAATCATCATATTATATTACAGGCACTATTTTTTAAAAATTCATGTTCTCTCCTCAAGGGGGATAAATTCATGCATTACCCATAACAAGAAACAGTATAAGTAGGAATTATATATACCAGTATAATAAAACACTACATCGAACCACACAGACTTATGATAAAGCATGGAGAGGTTATTAAATCAAGCACAATTTGTTGTGTGGGGAGTTTTAAGTTTGATTTTACAAAGAAAATGTCCCCAAAGGGGAAAGGTTCATAAATAAAAATAGAATTTAGAAGCAGATACCAATCTAAAACCTCTAAATTCTCTCCTTAGATCATGTTATACCATGAGAAGTCTATAGATTTGAATGGCATTTGTTTTCTTTATAGAACTGCCTCTATAGGGCTGGGATTTATGGGATTCTGTCTTTAATTTGGACTGAAGGTCAGTATAAGGAACAGCCACATGAAATCTTTGACTGCATTTTTCCCTTTTATTTTGCAGTACTATTTCTATAAATTTCTCAGTGAAGACTGCCTTTTGTATCATATGCCACAGAAATTTTGTTCTGCTAAAGAGTGGTATTTCTGTACTGATGAAACCACGGATCATATTTCCCTTTTTTTTGATTTATTGCCAGAAAGCTCAGAGTAACATCCTTGTCCCTTATGATTAACATATTTGCATTTCCTCTTCCTTAGTTTTAGATTTTTCTATTTTCAATTTCACGGAATCCTTGTTTATATATTCTGTTGTAAGCTGCTCCAGGTCCTTTGTGAAGAAAGGCTTGAGCATAAAAGCAAATAGATAAAACAGGCAGGCAAAAATCTCTAAACACCCAGACAATGTTTAACTGACATCTGGGTGGTACTGATGCCCTCAGGTGCCAATGCTGCAGTACCCACTGCTGGCTGACCCTCCAAGATGCAGAGGCTGGAGGAGCTCTGGGGCTAAAGGTGAGGTGGCAGGGATACCACCCTAAGGGCACTGCCATGGTTTGGCTCTGTGCATCTACGTGTTTATAAACATCCTAGGTGAGGGAGCCTCTCAAGAATGTGCTGCCTGGGGATGGTAGAAAAGGGATCCCATGGGAAAGGGTTGAAGCTGGGCTGATCAACTACAGTATAATTGCCCTCTCTCTCCCCCAGAAGCGGGGGAAGGTTATATTTGAGCAGTATTTTTTTTTTCTATGCACATGCAAAAGTAAGAGACAGGAAAGAAAAGAGGCTGTTTGCAACGAGAGGTATTACAAGTAAGGCATTTTTCTCTACCATGATCTAAGTGTGTTGAAAGTACAATAGCAATACTCTATGTATGCATTTAGGGGCAGTTATACAGGCTGTACAAGTGATGTGACCTTAACCCACGAGGACTGTCCCTCATTAAAATTTGACTTAAGCTTAGTAAAGTAATTGTTTTCACAAAGTACAAAATAACGTAGCACATTGTTTTTATTATCTGACATTACAGATTGATTTAACACTTTCCTTTTTTTTTACAGAACATGGGAATGAAGGGTAGAAATGTGTCCAGCATTTTTGCAAACATTCTTTGTTACACACAAACACACACAATGAAATATAGAAAAGAGCATACAGAAAAATTAAAAGGTAGGTTGATATCGGACAGGCTGTAGTTCTAATTGATCCATGGAAATAATGTGAAACTTTTTAATAACACTAGCAAGTGGCATATATTGTCATACATAGTTTGGTACATGCATGGGGCATTAAAGCTGCTTTTCTTTTGCTTTCATTTAATCTAATTATTATTATTATTTTTAATTATGCTGCTCCCTTTGCTGATCCTGAACCCTACCACAGGGTCAGACACAGGGGTCCATTTTAGGACATGGTTAGGGAGTTCACAATGCCCCTATATTCAGAAAATAAATGCGTTGTATCAGATTTGTGAAATCACAGAGCAGAAATGTTCTTGTGATAAGAGGAAGATTGAAAGTGAATTAATTTTTTTAGAGATTATTGTCAATCAACAGCTGAGATTCCATACTGGGAAAGAACCAAAAATATGGGAAGTGGGTAGTCAGTTACCGAGTACAGTCTTACATGATTGAGCACATTCTGGTGAGCAACGGGGGGAAAAGGCCTAATAATTATGTGATGAAAAGGGATTTAATTGCCTGATTCTTATAAAAAAGAGTTTCCAAACCATTTCAGTAAAATGGAAACGGAACTGAATATTCATGGTATGAGAGGATGTGGAGGTTCCCTTCTGTGTGCTGTGGGTTTTGGGATAACATTGACCTCTGTGTATCTCTAGTAACTGGGTCTTTCTATTAAGAGAGAGAGGTCTGATCAACAACCCCTAAAAGCTTAAATTGATTTGAAACTTCTATCTCTGGGGACCTAAAATGTTTCCAATAAAATCCAATTTGTTCCCTCTTCTAAAAGATGTAATAGGTCTTCTTTTGGTGCCAACAGCCATGATAGTTATAAAAGAAATGCCAAATTTTATAATTTCAATTCAAGCACTACCATTGAAAAGGAAGCAAATTAGTATGAGTTTTTTTTTTTTCTTTCCAAACTGAAGCATGAACATACATTAGAGGCAAAAGCAATGAGAAAAACAGCAGGACGCAGGCCCCTCCACTGTTAGTTAAGACCTGCAGTAGGGGACATAACTTACTCCCTGCTTCAGTTCTTCTTCCTACAGAAAGATTGAATCGATAATAGTTAGATTACCCAGGGTTCCAGTTAGAGCAGGTACACAGTGTGCAGGAAGGCAAGATGGGGAAACATCAATGGCTCTAAGGCAGGTCCAGGCCTCTGCTATCTCAGGGACTCTATTTCCAAGCCTAAGTGTCTAAGTATTGGACACTACAGACCCAATCCCTCCTCACATGTCCAAGCATCTCTCAGCACCATCTGTCTATCTCAGTGCTTGCACATCTTGGTAAAAGGCTGTGTTGAGTTGGGCCAGGTTGATACCAAGATGGCTGGAAAATTAATAGACTCCTATCCCATTGTTTTCCTTGTCATGGTGACAGAAACTCTAGGAACACTAGTAGGGGACATTTTTGAAAGTTTCCTGCCATTTGGTGAAGGGCAGGATAGGTTCAGACCTCTTCATTGGATATATTTGGAAAGGGAAGCAGAAAAGAGCTTTTCTGTTGCATCTAATGAGATAATAGGCCAGAAACAGCAGAAGGTTATTAATGATCTAGTCCTGTCTTACCATAGATAGGTGGCAACCCTGAATTCTACACTTTGTCGGTCTAAAGCACTTGAGTGAAATAAAACATTCCCCAAACAGATTATTAGAGAGGACACAGATGGCATGAAAAAATTTAACTAAGGAATAAAACAGTAAAGAAAAACAAAGAAATATATGTTACAAGAATAGTGTCTGGAGATTTTAAAAGAAGTTTATTAATGAAATACAAGGAAAGAAAGGATAAAAGGAAAGAAAGAATGGAAAAGAAAGGATATAAAGTAAAGAAAGAAAGAGGAAGAAAAAAGAAGAAAGGAAAGGTGATACAGAAATAACAAATGATGGTGTTTGGGGGATAGGGGGACCCTTGGCTGCAAGTCAGGACCTCCTGCCTCCTGGGAGCTGCCCAGAGATACACCCTTCATTGTTCTCCCATCACAAGTTCCAGTTCTGCCTTTGGAATGTGGCAGGTCCAGTCCCTGCTGGCCAAGCCTGATTGCATCAGACAGATGACCACATGGCACGGGCACTTCTGGGCTGACTGTGGACACGTGGCCATAATTTGTATGAAAAGTAATTTCATGTATACTGATGAAGGAAATAGGCTTTATCAAAGAAGGAATGCCACTTCGAACGAGAATCGTAACAGATTATAGCACTCTGTAGAGGACTTCCGCAGATCACTTTATTAAACACTCTATCTACAGAAGAGTAAGGAAATATTCCCATTTATAGCTCGTATTTGAGACCCTTATAAGTCACGTGAAAAAGTCATACAAATGGGATAAAATATTTTACTGAAGTTATTCATCTTTTTTTTTTGTACCAGGAATTGAACCCAGGGGTGCTTACCCTTTGATCCACATCTCCAGCCCTGCCCCCTATTTAAATATATATATATTTTTTTTATTTAGAGACAGGGTCTCACTGAGTTGCTTAGGGCTTCACTAAATTGCTGAAGCTGATCTTGAACTCTCGATCCTCCTGCCTTAGCCTCCCAAACTGCTGAGATAACCTAGCTAAGTTATTCCTTTTAATAAAATTATAATCACCAAGATTGTCTAGTGGCTATATCTTATTTTTCTGAATTAGACATTAGCCTTTGTTCAATTTGGTCAGAACTGCTGAAAGTGATCAAATATAAAATATTTCTAAATGAATCCCATTTTATTACTTTCAAGGACATAAAGGAACTAGAAATAAGCCAAGAAAAAGTTTCCCATAAAGGTCCTGGGTCCAGGAAAAGGTGAGAATGAGCTCTATAAAATTGACTACTATTGTTGCAAGGGTCTAAGAAATAGTTCCTTATCTGAGTTTGTAACAACATTTGGGGGAAAATCACATGTAGGAAATGGAAAAGCAAATTGAAAATTGTACATTATGTACAAAAAACTTACAAATGCAGTAACACAAATCGTAATAGTTCTGGGAAACATTTATTGAAATGTCTTACCTTTAGTAGCTTCATGAGACCTTCCAATTGGACCATTAACTCTCTTCGGCTCTCCTGGAGAGCAGACATTCTCTGTTCCAGCTCATCCTTGCGTTGTCTGAGAAAGAAGCAATTGTCATTAGAAATAGCATTCAATTCACTGAGCTAATCACATTTCCCAATTTTGTGGGACCAGTAGACTATCAGAAAACAGCATTGCTGGTTCTCTGATATGGTTATCAGGCAGGTAACTGTCTTCAAATGAATGAACAATTGCAGTTTGAGGTGTACTTTTATTTGTTAAAGTCATACAAAATTATAGAGAACTTAACATGAGACATTTAATGAAATATTAAATAATCATTTAATGAAATATTTTAAAAATGCTTACGATAGAGCAGGTCCCATTCTGTGCCATTGCCTTCTCTTGACAAAATAACAACAGTAACAACAAAACCCAAATACCAAATTGTCACTGAAAAGGACCAATCCTACAGATTCTCCAAACCAAGGTACCTTTTGTAAATTCACAGAAAATATGGATTACCTCAGTATTTGGAAATCTGATTTATAAATGTACTTTTAAAATCTGTTCCATCCTCAGTATGTAACATGGTACCCTTCAGAGGTGAAATATTAATTGAGCATACTTATTATAATCAATCTACTTGGTTTAAGTTTGATTTGATAAACTCAAGTCAGAATAAAGTAGTTCCTACATAATTGTTCTACAACTGAAAAAGATATATGAGATGTGTTTAATTTTGTTTTGTTTTTCTGGACTTGTATTAAACTGTCAGCAATAATGTAAACCACTAAGGACAACCTACACTCTCCCATTTATGTTGACACGAAGAAGCACCAAAAATATCTTTAACAGGGGAAAGAAATGAAACAGTAAGGAGAAAAATATTAATGGTTCACATTTCTGAAGGCTATGTATGCTTTCTGAACCAACTTTTGAGTCCATTATTTCAAGGTCATTGAGTAAGTAACATATATACTTTTTCCTTGCCCCGAAGACTTCTGTTTGAATTTTAAATATTAGAGCTTATATTCTAAAAATGTGTGGATGCCTTAACCATGTATGTGTGAATGAACATGGCTGTCTCAATGGCACAGATACCATATTAAGTAGAGCTATCACAGGGACCTTGAAATAAAAACTGACAATATAAAAATGTCACCATGAGTTAGGTCTGTGACTCATTCAGTTGAAAGATATTTATAGGAAGACAGGTTAGAGGTATAAATGAGACATTTCTTATTTGCTTTCATATAGGCTTTTTCTACAATAAATTATAAATTTAAAATTTATAAAATTCTCAATCCTTTCTGAATATATTTTTATTTTTAGCTTTTCTTGCTACTCATGGCTTACTCATGAAGTGCTTCTTCCTTTAATTTCCTTTACAGTTGTCTCTTTTCTGAATCCAGAGGTTCAGGAACATCATAATTTTGTAGACTTTAGTGGTTTCTTATTTTAGCCTGTCTCCTTGGGCTGAAGCATTCTAATTTTGTAAGTCTTGCCCCATTCAAAAATATTCTTCAACGGTAAAGTCATTGACTGCTTTTCCTTGACCTTGTGTGCTCATGGTGTTCCAGATACACTCACAAAAGACTTCGGACACGAGTAGGTAGTGTTTCTGATTTATTTCCAGTTTTCGTCTTAAGACTACTTTATAATTTTTTGCCCATTTGCCACAAGAACACCTTGAGAAGGTCCAGGCAAAATCCTAACATTGTAGGGAAGAAATACTAAGGGAGGCACTAGGCTCTATTATAAAAAGTTGATGTGAATTAACTTATAATCAGTCAACATTAAAATAATCTCATTGTACATTTATTTTACAGTACTTATCTTTTAAAATATGGCATTTAATTCAATTAAAATCATTTCATAATGCCTTTTCTCAATCTTCTCTGTAAGAGTTTACATCAGTGGTTACCAATTGTGAATCCAATAACAAATCTGCAATGTAGCCTTCACCATTCTTCACCATGAGAAAATAAAGATGAAAAAATGATTTTATTTTCCTACAGCTAAATGTATTCTTCTTTAAAGGAATGCCTTTTTTCCCACCCTGAAATTCTGTCAGACAATAATATATATTCATACTAAACTTCCTGTATTTGAGGATAGTAATGTGATTATATAATTTTTTTCTTAGAAAACACACACACTGAGGAATAAAGAGGTATGATGGGCTGGGGATGTGGCTCAAGTGGTAGTGCACTCGCCTGACATGTGTGGGGCACTGGGTTCCATCCTTAGCACCACATAAGAAAAAAAAATAATAAAGATGTTGTGTCCACCAAAAACTAAAAAATAAATATTAAAAAATTCTCTCTCTCTCTAAAAAAAAGAAGAGGTATGATATCTGATATCTGCAACTTTTATTTAACATCTGTGAATTTCAGTTCCCTCATTTGTAAAAGGAGTGTAATAATATTGTCTATCTCCCAGCTTTGTTATGGCAATGATATGGAACAGTGCATGGAGAGCTTAGCACATCATACATGTCACACTAGCAAATAGAAATGCCTGTTATAGAACCACATCTGGGCTGGAAATGTGGCATTCAGTTTCCTTGTGGTCAAAGTAAAAAGGGAAACATGATCATTTAGAAAGTCAGAGATTTTAAGATAAAAATAAAACTATTCATTCATGAGAAGCAAGGCTCCACTCCTCTCCCCCTCTCCCCTGTCCCCAGCTGCAAGACATTTCTCCAGTTGGTTTCTTGGTAAGAGGTTCAGGAAGGATGTAGTGGAGGGGCCCTCTATGGCAGCTACAGTAAGGAGTTCCTGTGGCTGCCTCACACTGCCACCTCTCAGTGGGAGCCAAGGCCAAGGGAACTTTGCAAGAGGCCACTCTTTTGGAGCTCTTTGAAAGTCTGAAATGACACAAGGATAAAAGGATAACCAGAACAGGGTTTCTTAATCTGGGGTGTCGGGGCATCTGTGAAATCCTTAAATTGTGAAAATGTTCAGCACAGAGTAGGTAGTTTATAAGCATCTAGAGACACAGCCTTCAAGGGAGGCTACTTCTTCCTTCAGGTAGAAGAAGTGTGTAGAATGTGGAGGCAGGGGAAGCAAGACAGCTGGCTTTTCAGATGACAGGAAAGCCAATGGCACAAAAGTTCATGGCAAATCCAGACTCCTTAGTGCAGCCTTGGGCTCAGCTGGAGTCACAGGATGCCCACAAGTCAGGGCCAGGAGGGTGGTCAGTTTTATCAGTCCAAGATGACCCATTAAGGAGGGAAGAAATATCAGAAAATGGACACAAGTCTCTTCAGATGACTTCCTGGACTCTCTCTCATATGAAATGGAATACTTTCAGAAACAAAGGCTAGATGGGGCAACCAATGAAACTGCTTATGAAAAATTTTTAGTCATCTCCCATGGAGCATAGGGTGCACAATGGAAAAGATTAAAAAAAAATTCAGGCAGAGACTACACTGACCCTAGAAGAAGAATGACTACTCTATTTCCACCTGGGTTTTTTTTGGTTCTCTTTCTGTGTATATTAGATTTAACTTCCAACTTGTGAGTGCGGAGGACCTCCATGACCTTATTTGACAATGGAGAGTTAATAGGGACTCACTTTTAAATGCCTTTAGTGAAGATGATATAAAACATCACTTTTTCCTTCTTTTCATTTCCACCTCTTCTAGGTAAAGTGTAGTAGAATGTGTAGGAATGTCTAGTACATGGCATTGAGGGCAGGGCAGAAAGCATATAGGCTGAGAAGGAAGAATTCCTGTTTCTTTTGTTAAATTAATTTGTTACCCAAAAGTATGAAGTGATCTCTCCCCATTGAACAGCTCCATAAGCTGCAGGTTCTGCAGATGTCTTTCCCACAAGAGAAGCCTTTACAGGATCTGCTCCAGTCACGGGCTTGGGAGAGGCACAGTGGATCCCAGCAGAAGAGAAGGTGCTCATGGTATCACCTCTGAAAAGCAGGGTTGGGATGGAAACCCCAGAAACATCCACGACTGTAATCAATAAGGATTTGGTAAAATCCAAACACAGTCACACAGAACCTGCTTCATTCAGTTTCTTTGTAGGGAGGAAGAAAATAGCACTAGTTCTGATAAGGGTTTCTGAGAAGAGGCATCTGTATTTACTATAAAACGTCTGTTTCAGAGTTATAGATATATACCTGGAATGTACTTGGCACCCTACAGAAGGATAAAAAAAGGTAATTCTTGCTAATTAAAAGTGTCTTGTGAAAGCTCAAGATGCCATTTCTGAGAGGGAATGCCTTTGAATTTATGCTTGTGTTGTTTCATACACAGATACATTTGAGTAGCTGCCATATTCAAGGCATAGTGCTCAGCCGGTCTGATGAGGTGGAGAAGGGGCATCCACACTGAGGCTTGTATTTAACACTGTGGGAGTAAATGGGGGCAACTCTGGCCCTAATCTAAGGCCAGCTACTCTCAGCTGATTCTGAGAATGTGCTGAAACTCAGGGGTTGAGTCAGATGGCTCTCCAGGTCCCTTTCAACCCACATATTCTATTATGACAGACAAGACAAAGCTTTTTCATTCATTTGCAGAATAAGAAGGTATGATGACTAATTTTTGAAATCTGTATGTAAAGCTATCAGGGATCATGATTTAGACAAATGGTTGCCTTTTATGAATTACATGTAAAATTTCAAATTTAGAAATCTGTGATGTTTATGCAGCTGTTGATGTGTTTGTTTTGTGAAAAATTTGTAACATCAACATGCTGTTAATAATACAAACAACTAAAAAAGCTGAGTTAAAATTTTTTTCCCAGTGAGATTTTTCTTTCTGATCTAATGGATTATTTCCTTTATTTGTATCTACTAAAAGAATAACAGCAATTCACAATAGCCAAGCTTTGGAACCAACCTAGATGCCCTTCAACAGATGAATGGATAAAAAAATGTGGTATATAAACCCAATGAAATATTACTCAGCTATAAAGAAGAATGATATTATGGCATTTGCCGGTAAATTGATGGTGGAAGTGGAGAATATCATGCAAAGTGAAATAAGTCAGTCCCAAAAAAACCAAAGGTCGAATATTCTCTCTGATATGTGGATCCTAACCCATAACAAGGGAGGGTAGGGAGGGAAAGTAGAGAAGTTCATTGGAGTAGACAAAGGGAAATGAAGGGAAGGGTAAGGGGATGGGAATAGGAAATACAGTAGAATGAATTGGACATAACTTTCCTATGCTCATATGTGAATACATGACCAGTGTAATTCCACATCATGTTCAGCCACAAAAATGGGAATGGGATCAAAATTGTAAGGGGTTGCACTCCATGTATGTATAATATATCAAAATATACCCTACTATCATGTATATCTAAAAATAACAAATAAACAAAAAGAATAACATAAACTTCTTTCCAAATTGCCCAAATATCAGCAATTAGGTCTATCCTATTAAAAACCAAACATCTGGGTGTTGTGGCATGCATATACAATTCCAGCAACTTGCTCAGGCAGGAAGATTAAAAGTTCAAGGTCAACCTCAACAATTTAGCAAGATCCTCTCTCAGAATAAAATTAAAAAGGGGTGAGGATGTATTTCAGTGGTAAAATGCCCCTGGGTTCAATCCCCAGTAAAAATATAATAATAATAACAACAACAATAAAAAGAAAGAAAGAGAGAAAGAAAGAAAGAGAGAAAGAAAAAGAAAGAGAAAGAAAGAAAGAAAGAAATATTGGCGGTTATAGTGGCTCAGGGCCATTTCCCGGCTAGACACTGTTAGGCCATATTCCGAATCTGGAACATTCGTATGCCCTGCGGTGACTGGGGCACTCCTTACCTGAGGAGCCGGAGCTCTGCCAGCAGGGTGGGGTTTTGCTGCGCCTTCTCTGGTGTGGGCTGAGAAGCTTGCTCATGTTCTAGTCGCAGCCTCTGGATCTCCTGTAAGATTTCTCTTGGGAAAGAGGAGAAGGTGAGAAACCAGGGTCAGTTAACTTCTGGGACACCAGCCTCTGAGCAGAGTGATCTACCAGAACACAGAGCAAAGGGATCATCCTGTTTGGGAGCAGAACCGACTCTTACTAATCAACAGACTGTGTATGTTTAGGAGGCCTTGGTGTAGCCGTGTGGGTGCTGTGGGTGAGGGGAGGGCTGCTTTCATCTCCATGTGGCATGTCAAACCATGAAGGCTCTGCAGGCTGTCACGGAGTGTTATCACCAGGACCTAATCATCTCTCCAGGAAGTCATGTAGTGCTGTGGTAATGTGTCCAACTTTGATGAGTGCACTGCTTAAGAGACAAAAATGTATCTTCCTATTATTTATGATCACACTCTGACACCATAAAGTACACAGCTATCAAGTAAGAGGTGCTTGGAGGGAAAAGAAGGATAAATGGTGCTCATTGCACAAAACTAAATAACCTCATTCTCTCACTAAGAATAACATTCTTCTCACCAAATTTTTCTGAGACGCCCCGAGTTAGGCAACATTCTCTTTTTTTTCTTAACATTTTCAGCTTTAACAACTGGTCTCAATGAGGGCAGCCTGAGAAGGAAAGTGCTTTTAAAAGGATTCATGTAATTGAGTCTGTGACATAGAGTGCTATTGGTGTGACCTCTGTCAGGAGGTGAGACATGTCAGCCTGTTATTGATGTTGAGGCCTGGGCTGCCCTGCTTTTGGTTGAACATTAAGCTGGCCATAAATGATATGCGCCCAGAACAAAGCCAATTATCTCTAAGTGAATCAGAAGCCATTAAGCAAGGTTACAAGTCACATATTCTTGGGGACTATGGGTGTCAGTCTCCCCCTTTTCAAAATGTACAAGTCACAGTAAGACAGAACAAAGATTGAGAATGGAAGGTAAACTTGGTGAGCCAAGGGGATGGCATTCCATTGTTAAAATAATTTTAAATGACACAGTAATTGTGCATCTGTATGGGTTATGATGTGATAATTTTATGTGTGTGTGTGATCAAATCAGGGTAACTAGCATTTCTTTCTTTCTTTTTCTTTTCTTTTCTTTTTTTTTTTGTATTGGGAACCTTCAAACTCCTCTTGGTTGGATAACAGGTACCAAAATTTAGTTAGTAAGGGATAAGTTCTAGTGTTCTATAGCACAGGAGGTGACTATAGTTTATAATTTATTATTTCTCAAAATAACTAAAAGAGAGAAGCTCCATGATTTTCCATTGGAAGGGAAGATGTAATTCTATTTCCTAAACACGGTGGGACCAGGAGGCTAATTAACAGGGAGCCATTACACCTTTCATGGGTGTGCAGAAAAGGCTGGATTGTAACTCAGTGGTTCAACTACAGAGTTCTGGCAAGGAAAAAAATATAATGAAACAATACATAACCTGCATCGGTAGAACTGTGCAGTCTTCTGTAATCTTATTTCACCCGATAACAGTTCTATGATATTTAGATACTATTATTATCTCTGTTTCACGGATGGGAAAATCAAGGAATAGTGCAGTTAAAAGATTTGTTTGAGTGTAAGAACAAGCAGGTGTTGGAGGCGATTTGAGCTCAGGCCGGCTAGCTTCAAATGCTGTACATCAGACTGCTTCTGTTTCTGGCACTTGCTTTGTCTGGTCTATTCTAGGCAGGCTCTAAGAGTCGGCTTTTCCCAGGGTCCTATAAGGAAACATCACCCTCGAATGATTGTGGCTGACAGGGTGCTGTAGTTTGGATCTAGAGTGCTCCCAAAGGCCCATGTGTTAGAAGCTTGGTCACTAACCTGTGGCACTATTGGGAGGTGGCAGAGCCTTTAGGAAGTGGGACCTGAGGGAAGGAAGGAAGGTCACTGGGGGTGTGCCCTTGAAGAAGGTAAAAATTGATAAGCTCCATTAAATATCTCATCTTGGCTGCAGTGTTAATATGCTCTTTCACCTCTCCATAGCACTTTGTTTCCTCCTCCCAATCCTCTGCTTCCACTGGGGCATGGGGATAGGACATTTGAGGGGGAACTGGGACTTCTTTTGTGGAAATAATCCCAGGATATTTGCCTTCATTTGGGTCTGCTCCTTCCTCTCTTTGCCTCCTGGCTGCCATGATGTGAACTCAGTTCCTCCACCATGCACTTCCATCATGTACTGCCTTGCCACAGACCCAGCAGCAATGGAGCCAACCAACGACGAAAACCTCTGAAACCATGAGCTAAAATAAGCATTTCCTCCTTTGAAGTTAATTCTCTCAGGTGTCTTGTCATAGTGATGGAAAGCTATGGCACCTGTTCATGAATTAGTTAGGGTAAACACAGTCATGAAGCAAAATGAGAAAGTATCCTCCTCTTAAGTTCAGAGGTCTGTCTGATTATTGGGTTCACGGTCACTGTGGTGACCATGGGACCTGGAGTGAATTTCTATGGTGCAGGAGTGTGACCTGGATAATCCTCTGGAACAGGGCCCTGGAGTCTTTGCAGAGCATAAGGCTGCTGGTTTAGAGGTACGAGTGCAGAATGGACTAGCAGCTACTCCTCAGGGATAAACTGGAAACTCTAGGAATCATGAAAAAACTCAGGCACAGGATGAAGTTCTCTTTCTACTATCCTTCTCATTCTGACTTCTTTTTTTCTCTCTGGTCCTAGAAACATATATGCAGAGAGTGCAGTAAAGCCATGGTGGTTAGAATATTCATGGTACTTTTTGGAAACAGAAATAAATTCACCTGAAGGCAGATATCACTGGGGTCTTTCCTCAAAGGAAGTAAGTCCCTATTCCCCCTTAAGTGATCTACACCCATGGCCCAGTGGGAGCAGAGGACTGAGTGGGAAAACAAAGCTCTCTGGAGAGGTGGAAGAGCATGTGCAACCAAGATGAGATATTTCATGGACTGGTGAATGTTACTAGTCTTTTCTTTCTAGGAAGAGGGGAAAAAGTGAAGTTGACCCTTGTGGAAACTCAGGCCAGGTTTGATCTGTTCCTCCTGATATTGCACAAGCAGCTCTTTAATCTTGACACTGTATCTCCTATTCAGAGATCCAAACTCGGACTTTCCTCTTCATATTACAACAAAAAGTGTTTTTTGTATGTGTGTGTGTGGGGGGGTGGAATCAGAAAAAGAAATCTGGGTGGTATGAAGATGATTAACTTTGGAAAATTTCTGATAGAAAGTTTAGAAGTGAACACTGAAGAATCTCATAAAGAAAAATTCCACAGTATTTCTTTTTTCTAACCACCTCCTGTTTTGGTTCTATTAATCCTATCTCAGCATCACCTACTTAAAGTATGTCTTCCTCCCTTTCAGTTTCTAGCTAACTTCTTGTAAATGCAATATGTCCTGACCGATGCTTTCCATCATGACATTATAAAATTCAGATTCTCTGGCCTGATCTACAAGATTTGTATATTAATGTTTCCATTTTACTATTCATCTCTACCTCTTGGTGCTAGCCTGACAAGTATCTTCAGCACTTTTCTCAAACTTTATGGGTATTTTTACTAGTATATCTATCTTCCATCTTGCACTGCCAGATTTCACTATTTTTATATGTGCAACTAAAACCCCATCTTTTCCACAAAGTTTACCCCACCTACCTAGACCACAGTGGTGGCGAAGTGGATCACCATCACTGGGAAAAAAGAGCACAAGTGACACTTCACTTTTTAATTTTAATTCGTACCATGGGAATGATAATAGTCATCCTGTCCACCTCAAAGTTCTCTTCTGAGTATGAAATGAAACAATAGTTGTATATATATGTTCTATAAATATGTAAGATTGTCACTGATCTCTTTTCAACACCTTGAAACAAAGACCCAGGTTTCTTATTTCTGCCACCTGGCATCTATGGTTGGATGTTATCAATCCCAGCTTTGCGCCTTCCCCGACTCAATGGCACCTTGCTGGTTAGCAGACATAGCAAGTTTTAGAGAAAAGGGTCTAAGGGTTGGAGAAGTGGGTAAGGCATGATGCCTGTTAGAAACTGAATAAAAGGACCATCTAGAAAGCCAAACCCTTCTTTAGAAAGTGGTCTCTACTTCTCTAGAATCAGGCCTCAAGCGTCTTGGCCTTCCAATTCCAGATGAGTCCATCGATGGGTCCCTCCTATCCTGCTTTTTCTTTTGCTCTCTCTGTTGACTTTATTATGAGGCACTCACTGATGTACCGAAGCCTATTATTCTAATTTGGAAAAACCTTTCATGTCACATGTTATAGGTTTACTTTGTTGAGTAAAAAGAAAAAAAAACACTTTGCATTTCAATTCTAATATTTGCAAAGGTTTATTTTTCCTAAAGGAGTTGAAATTTTGGATTAAGTCAAGAATTAAAAACTGGTCCATTTTTCTTTTTCTGTACCCTTTTTGGTGCCCAAATTGGTGTAAGGCATCGAGACAACATCTGAACATGGCCTCTACTCCCCATCACCATCAACACTCACACAACCATTCCAGGGACCTGGGTGGCACAGCAGATCTTTTATATTGTTGGTTCTGAACCCTCTGGCTGGCAGTTCACATGCTTTCTACAATGCCTCCCTGCTCCCATTTGACCTTCGCCTCCACCTACCTGCCCTTTCCTTTCTTTGCATTGTTTCTCATACTGGATATTAAGTGCCTTGGCTCATTTGAAATCACTTCCTTCTCTCAAATGCTTTTTCTGACTTAGGACAATTATTTTCACATAGTAGATATAATAGAGGGAATACAAAATAAAACAAACAGTTTCACAGACTTGCAACTATCCTGAACAAATTTCAATTTATATGGGCAATTTTTTCCTAACTTTTCACCATGCTTTCGTTTTTTCCCTTTAAAAATTTTGCCTCCTATTACTTGGGAAGTTGAGAGGGATCACATAGGGCACATCTCTTTGGGAGGTCAGCATAGAGCAATAATTTCAAAGGCTATAAAGTCCTGGTGTCACATTTATGGGACTATTTCCATTCTAATTAGTAGTCTCCTAATGATGAGAGATCGGTCCTGGGACAATTAAGCAAAAAATGTTTTTGCTATAAAAAATATGAAAATGTGCCAACAGTTGGCACTTTTCTTTAAATTTTTATCTATAGAACTTCAAAGAATGCTTTTGAAGTAAATGCACTTACTGCAAAATTCTCAGGTAAACCTCTATAGGTATGAAGTCATCATCATATCCTCCTCCTTTACCCCATAACCTCAAAAATGATATCAGTGTTTCAGAATGGGATTACATGTTTAAATATTGTAATGTCATTTCAAGAAATATGGAATATATGCACAGTTCCTGTTCTGGGCTTACTCAGCACTGAGTTTGAGAGCTGATTCAGCTATTCATTATTTTTTCATTCAGGGTACTCCTAAGCATCTGCAATGTGCCAGGAGTGGTTCTGAGCCCCAGGGGATTCTGTTCTCAAAGAACTTCCATTTCAGTGAAGGAAGTCAGAAAACAAGCAAGGAAGCAAACTCCTAAATAAGATTATTTCAGATAGCGGTAAGTCTCTCTCTCTCTCTCTCTCTCTCTCTCTCACACACACACACACACACACACACACACACACACATTTCTATTAAACGAGATTTAATAGAAATTGTCACTGGGGTAGGAAGTAGTGGGCAAGACTAGACAGATGGTTTTTAGGAGGTAGCACTTGAACAGAGTCCTGGATGACTGGAAGGAACCATCCTACAGAGACCCACAGGCAGAGCTTTCTGGGTTAAAAGAACTACTAGAGCAAAGGAAGAAGCTGCTCAAATATGGAGTGTGATGGGCAGTGGGATCTTATGGTGGTAAGGCAGGCAGGAGCCAGGTGGGGTAGGACCTTAAAACCCATGGTGAAAGAAGTTGGTTTGAATCAAATTGTAATGGAAAATCTTCAGGGGTTTCAACATGGGACTAATAACATGATCTGATTTATGTGTTAAAAAAAGGCAGATTGGATTGGGTGTTGGTGATGGAGATGAAGAGGACAGTTTTCAGGATATGCTGTGGAGACAAAATCAATTGAACCAATCTGTACTGAATAGAGAAAGCACCTGCTGATGGAGGGGACGCGGAGATGTTTGGCATGAAAAACTGGGGGATGATGGTATCATTCCAAGTGCATCTTTAGTCTGGATCCTTACAGGAAGCCTCTTTGGTGAGCCTCCTCCGTGTCTCTGGGTGAGAGGGATAAACTTTGCCTAGTACCCAGGAGGGCCCTACTTCATGTAGCTTGTTAACAAAACAGATGTGTCAGAGAAAGGAAATAAGAGTGTCTAGAAGTACAGCATTAATTTTTTTTTGCCATCTCAGAACACACACACACACACACACACACAGAGTTTTCTCATGAAATTTCTGTAGATCTGAAGATATAAAGACTCAGCTTTTCAGAAGCCAACATCACTGACTCAAGATGTCCTCCCTTAAATATGCATACAGTGTGAAATTACAGGCTATAGGTTATTAATGAATGCACAGATTGATCAAAAAAGCCAGCATGTCTGTTAAGGCTTACCTGTTCTTGTTTTCTAGTTCTGCAATCAGCTGCCTTTGTTGCTTATTTGCATCAATGGTGAAGGAGATGTCAGGAGCACTTCTCTGCTGAGTTGGCTGCTGTAAAATATGTAGTTCACATGATTTATTACTGGGAATGTGAACCCACATGTGTTTGGGAACATAGGGTGCATGAGATAGGCAGACAAGGAAGGGGAAACTATTTCTATCACAATAAAGGACAAAAACATAAAATGAAATTGCTATTCCTTTCCTAAGAACCAACTTTTCTGCAGCTCTAGAACATATCTATGCAGTGGAAAACAAAACATAATTTGTTGGCAGGCAAATAAACAAAACAGGAAAAATTTGTTTTTCTGTTTTCTGATTTGAAGTCTTTTGGAAGCTATTTCATTCTTGCCATGTGTTCCCATGGCAATTATTCTGTCAATATAGGTGGGTTAAAAAATGTTACTGTTGAGGTAACTCTTTCTGTAGAACGATTGCTCAATCATTCTTATTGTAGATTTCAAAATAGCTAGAAGAGAGGATTTTGAATGTTCCTAACACAAAGAAATGATAAATAGTTGAGATGATGGATATGCTAATTACTCTGATCTGATGATTACATATATATCTACACATATTACATGTATCTACATCACACTGCATGCCATAGATATGTACAAATATGTATCAATTACAAATAAAAGTATTTGGGCTAAGGATGTAGATCAGTAGGAAAGCACTTGCTTAGTGTGTGCAAGACCCAACATCAGAAAAAATAAGATACAATACAATGATTAAATAAATAAAACTATTTACAAAACTAAAAATAGAATTCTAACAAAAATTTCAGTTTTGAAAACAGTTAATTTCTTTTTTTCTTCTTTTGGTCAAGATGCTTTCATGTATGTCTTTATTCATCCATGTAACGTTACATCTATGGATTCGTATATATATTAGCTTCTTCTACCTTCATCCCACAGCAGCCCATTATTCTCAATCGTGCAACCAACTTTAATAACTGATATATATGCAATCACAGATTTCTTCAATCTCATATGATACATATCATAAATTCTATCATATAATATTTTATGTATGTCTGTATATGTGTATCTGTATTCATTCAAGGGTTTATTTGGGATTATTTTATTTAAAAAGGGGGTCAGACTAGGTACTAGTCTTGCTTTCTTTGTTCCACAGTACATTATAGAAATTCCTCCAAGCCAATTTTCATTGCTTTTAAAAATCATAAATAATTTTTCTACCAAAGAATGTGAAGCTTTTAAAAATGGCACTTGATGCCTAAATTGGAAGACATAGAAAAGTGCAGCCTACTTTTTAATGTCCATAAACCTAACTGTAGGAAAGGTTCAGAATAGTAAAAGTCTGGCTTTCCTAAAATTCTCCTATGATTTTTATTTTTCATTTCCTTTTAATAAGGAAAAAAATCTGTGTTGCTAATGAAAAATTCTGAGGTTCTGTGTTCTGTATCCTAATTGGCTTTTGATAGTTAAGTTTGACATGTGACATTTTTTATCTATGATCCAGGTTTTCCTTGTGATTTTGCCATATTAAGCCTCTCTTTCTTCCATATATTTTATGCATTGATAAAAGAAATTTATTTGAGCAAGTTATGGATTTCAGTAATTGGTTTGCTATTTATATTAATGGATCAGGAATCATCTAGATGAAGGATGTGTTAAGTGGGCCTAGCAATGTTATAACCATAATATCTCAAGCTATGATTTTTGCTATACTAGATTGTTAACTGAAAAGTGAAAAAATGGAAGAGACCATAAAGTAGTCACTATTTAAGCTGCTACATTATGTAAATAGACATAGATAATATGTAAAAAAGTGAGATGGAGGTATTCTGATAAAATTTGTACTAGTGGATATTAAAATTAAATTTCATGTAATTCTCACTTGTTACAAAATATGACTCTTCTCCCTTTCCCACCAATTAAAAAATTAAAGATTATTTTTAGCTCATGTACAAAAATGGGCTGAATTTGGCTATAGGTAGTTTGTTTATTCCTCAAGAGTTAAGAAGTCTCTTAACTTATTTGCAATCAATCAATAGTAATCAACAGAGGGGGAAAACAATACCAAGCTATAAAATGTATAGCATCTAACTTACTTGATTTTAAAAATTAGGACTAAGAATTTAAAGTCAAGAAATATAAGAAATAATATATGGCAGGTCAGTTCTATATAATTAGGCCTTTTGAGGAAAAAAAATAAGAAAGCAGAAGACAATGAGAGATTTGAATTGGAGGAGAAAAACAAATATAGGCAGACTAAAGGGAAGCAAAAGGTAGAGATGTAGGGAGAAATCAAAAGAAGGGAGATATTTATTAATTTTTACTGTGTTGGCATACTTTAAATGTGTAATTATATTACACATTTAAATGTGTAATTTAATGTGTCTGTTGTTACATTTATGGCTTCTTGGTAGAATGTGTAATTATATTTAGCCTCTTTAATTGATGGAATAGAGAGAGATAGAGATAAAGATAGAGAAAGAGAAAGAGAGAAGAAAACAGATTTTTAGAATATTAGTCATAAAAGATAAGATCAGCACTTTTGAAATTTGGTATGCAAATTTCTGATCTTATCACCTTCTGGCACCATTTTTGGGCAGTATAAGGCACCCAAACCAGCTAATTTTATGTAGTCATGTCTCAATATGTGACCTTCAAGAAATCCAATGTTATATCCTTATGTGGCTTTTAAAGTCTACTACATTTTCATAACATAGACTGTGTGTGTGTGTGTGTGTGTGTGTGTATATATATATATATATATATATATATATATATATATATATATATATATATATATATAATATTTTTTCAAATGTCAGGTCTAGCTTATTGGTTAGCCATATTCTATTAAATAATTTGATTAATTAAAGTTCACATGTTATTTTACTATCTTGTTGGATGCCCTTCAGACTCAAGTTTTGAATTTGAGGACATCCTACTCTTCTCATTTGGATAAAATTTTCTTAAATTTTAAGTTGCCTCAAATATACTGACCCATTCATTTTTCCATTCAACATATTTTTAAATTCAGCATCTATTATGAGCACATATTGTGGCTGATGTCCTATATTAAGATGTTTCTTATTCTCAAAGCATGGACAAATATAACTGCTATGATTACTACTATGGTTAAAGTAGCACAAGACTCAATAGAAGCATAGAGAAAACATGACTACATCATTAAGGTAACCAGGAAGGGAATATTAAGAGATGACACTGAGTCGACCTATTAAGTGGGTAGAGGGGTCATCTGCTGGATGGGTGAACTCTAGGTTTCTGCATGGTGTATTTGGAAATGGATAGACCACGGGGTATGAAGTGGTGAGGAGTGGAAAAACAGAGTGCTGTAGGAAATCTAGTGACTGAATAGAAGAGCACAGTGAGAAAAAGATGTGGGGTTTTCCATAGGGAAGACGCAAAAATGGACCCAAGTAATGACCTTTCTATCTCCATTCTAACGTGGAGATATCTTGCTAATGATGATTTATTTAGTTAATCATAGCATTCTTGAGATATCATTATGAGAAGATTGATAAAAAACACAAATGATTGTGAGAATGTTATCATTCCTGTGATGGATCCACAAAGGTTGTATATGATATAAGTAGGTGGACAACAAAAATAATCAATGTTCTTAAGAAAGGAAAGAAACAGACTGGAGAAGTTAATGCCATCTAAATGATCACATGCACACAGAGAGTTAACACTTCACCAGGAATCACTAATTCAAATGTTGAGTGGGGCCAGGGAGGTAAAGTAAATGAAAGAAGGAGACTAAGGGTGGGGGTTGTGGCAAAATGGTGAATGCCTTCCCTGTCCAGAGTAAGCAAGAAAAGGAATGTTCCTACTCCAGGTACCTGCTGCTATGAGCAACATGGACCTGGTCTTGTTAGTCTTTCAAGATAAACTGAAAATTCAGAGTTTTAAGGTTAACCATCTGACTTGTTAATGCTGACAGCTAGTAAAGAATTGAAAACACCGTGGGGGCCATATAAAACACTTCTGTGGGGAAAATTTAGACATAGACTGTATTTTTTGTGATGAATAGCTTATGTGCCATGTTCATAGTTTATTATCTCATTTGACCCTAATTACATGTAGCACTGATATATATATATATATATATTTATATATATATATATATATATATATATATATATATATATATATATATTTTTTTTTTTTTTTCAAGTCTGCCATTCTAAAACTGGGAATTCACTACTACCAAGAAGCCATAAATGTAACAACAGACACATGAATCAATAAATTAGTACTATTTTCTTGGTAATTAGCATCAACTGTAATGATAATAATGGACATGGCATGTGAAATTCAAGGATCCCAAATGCTAACAGATGAATCCTTTCACTCAAACTACTTTTATAATTATAGTTATACCTATTTATAAATGAGGAAACTGAGTTCAAAGAAGTGGTGCCTTGCTTGAGGTCATGGAGAGCTGGGACTCAGACGCACAAGCCCATACTGCTAAGTCCACGTCTTACTGCCCCACATCTTCTGTCCACAGAGATTTATGCAGGAACAAGGGCCAGAAAACTTGGAAAATAGGTCTTGACAGAAATCGTGTTTTTCCTTTCTTTTTGAGTAAATCCCCCTAACAGGGTTACTTGTCCTAAAATATAGTTCTCCCATTCTTTCAGTTGACTTTAATTTTCTTGAGCACAATTGTTTTTTATTTATAGCATTTAAGATTTCACAAAGTCCAATTGTATCTCTGCTTTACCATGTCCCATTTTTGGGTCACAGTGCACTTTCAGCCGGCCTGCATCCTTTACCATGTAGATCATGGTAATTTCTAACAATATTACAGTTGCTGGTATTACAGACAGCAAGTTCCAGAGCTAATGCAATGGGTCATGGTTTCCATTTGGGATTATTATTTAACTGCTCAGAATGAAGGACTCTGATAATGGCAACATCCCTTGTGAGAGGGGCAAGTAGCAGATTCCTCACTTTAATATCCTGCCACTCATTGTTTTTTGCAATGCATCAATAGCAGCTCATTCTCAGTTCAGCATAGATGAATTTCAAATAATAGTGTTAAATTATTGCTTTTGCTTTAGAGATGAAAGCAGTATTTCCTCTACTGGTGTATTTCAAGTGTCACTTGCAACTATTCTGCCTTTAACCTAGTATCTTTGTTAAACATACTTGCTTTAAATTCATTGAAGAATCATAACCAGTCCTTACTCTTTTCTGTGTGTGCTCATATGGGGGACAGGACTAGGTAAAGGGGGTCGGATGGGCTTCTAGTTTGACCATATTGGCACATTACTGTAGATATTTTGTTCTTCAAGTCTGCCATTCTAAAACTGGGAATTCACTACTACCAAGAAGCCATAAAAGTAACAACAGACACATGAATCAATAAATTAGTACTATTTTGTTGGTAATTAGTATCAACTATAATGATAACAATGGACATGGCATGTGAAATTCAAGGATCTCAGATGCCAACAGATGAATCCTTTCACTCAAACTACTTACAGATGAGGAGGATTCTGCTGCCAGTCTTGCTGCGTACCTGGCGATCAGCCTGTGCTCTTCATCAAGCCGGTTTGAACTCTCAAGCATACTATCCATAATAGAGCAAGAAGTAGAGTGTTAGACAATCGAGAAAGATTGACATATTCATATCACCATCAGGGGGTCTTCCTATTTCAGTTTTTCAATGCCAAAATTTTGCAAGCTGTACAAAACCCTGCTAGATTAATGATCTCCAACTTTGATTCATGACATAATCTAATATGTGGACAGGAAGTTGAATAATAAATCCTGAGTTCACGCAATTCAATCATCTTACTAAGAGAGCTCCAAAGAGAAATGACTTTTATAATCAACATTTCTGATATAAAAATTCATTCTTTAATTTAGTTTTGTTGTCTTTAATATTTTTGTTTCCCTATTATACGAGTAAGGCATGGACAGAGTTCATAATGTTAGAAAATATGACAGCACATAGAAAGGAAAAAAAATCCCAGCTGTAGTTCGTTTCCAGTGACCTCTTCTGCTAGTTTTGACATCCTTGCGTAATTTCTTCCCCTCTAGTATGAGCTGGCATTACTAACTTGCTTCTGATGAATAGAATATGGCAGAAGGAATGGAATGTTGCTTTCAAAATTAAGTCTAAAAAGACCATGGTTTTGATTATGGGATCTCTTTCTCTTGAGCTCTCTTGAATTGTTTACCTTGTGGAAAGCTTTCTGCCATGTCTAAAGCATGTCTGTGGAAAGGCACATGTGATGAGGGCTCCAAGCCAGCCAACAACCAGGTGAATGAATCCCCACCAATCCCCACCAGCAGAGCCTTCAGATGAGCTCAGAGCCCCAGTCCACAGCTTAACTGTAACCTCAGGAAACTCCTTGAACCAGATGCAGCTCATTAAGCCAAACTTGTATTCCTCCACAAAACTATGAGTTAATAAATATTTTTTGTTTTTAAGCTGCTAAGCTTTGGGGGTGAAGGTTATGGAATAATAGATAGCTAATACAATTCTTATCTATAATATCTATAATATTAGTATCTATAATATTTACTTTCCAGGTAATTTACCTTTTATATTTACAAAGAAGTGGCTCCCCATAACATTAATGGTAATTGTTTAGTGTCTACTATGAATGTATAGAAACTTTTTTTACTAGGCTGTTCTGAATCCCTGAAAACTAGGACAGGTAGAAGTATTATCAGTGTTCCCAAATTTCAGAAAACTTTGTCTTCTGAAGCCCTTCATTCAAGCTTCAGTTTTGGGTGCTATTAAAAAAGAAGTTCTATGAAATATACCAATAACACTAATCCTGTTAACAGATTAATTGGTCTTAGTTTGTCTTATCAGTTATTATGGTGTACATTGGTCAGAATCAAGATTAGAAACTGGTTCTTCTCATTTCCAAACATACTGTGTTCTTCTCCATTGGCTCTTATACTTTTGTTTCTTAATAAAAACATTAGCATTCATGATTATACATTTTAAAAGACACACTTCCATACCAATATTAAGGTTATAAGAATTATCCATTGGGAAGACTCAGATCAACATGAATAACATACAACTATTTATATTTGCATTTACATAAAAATTAAACATGCGACACAATTTTTAAACTTTTGTTCTAAGGTGAGAGAATGAGTGGAGTTCATTACATATTTCTGGTACGTTGGCCTGCCACTTCAAAATAGCTCTCCCCTGGTTGGCTAATCCATCACTATAAATCTATTTCTGGACATCTGGAAGACTTTCTTGTCTCCGTTATCTCTGCTTCTCTCTGTACCCATCACATATATAAACTATACCTATTTTTAATCCTGAATACATTCACTCTAGATTTAGCTCCTTTTCTGGGCTACAGTAACAAACTAGAGTATTTCCAAATTTCCCTATTTACCAACTCACAGCTTCATTCTCAGAAAGAGGTATTTATTTACTTTTGTCCAAGTGATAATACATGTAAAAGATGTCAATGTATCATCATTGTGAGGAACACATTAATAACCTAAAAATTTTTAGATAGTACAGTATTACTGTTTTGCCTCATAAGTATCTTGTATAGATTTGTTAACAATTCTTGTTTCTTTCAAAAATTTCATCTACTATCTGTATGGTCCAGAGCAGTGCTTCTCAAACTTTAAAGTCAGAGCTATTACTTAAGGCTTTTGTGAAAAGGCAGTTTCTGAATTCTATAGTGGGCAGTGGTAGAGTTTGGCCTGGGAGCTGAGAACCTGAATTCTTATGAGATCCCAAGAGATACTGAAGAACACTTTGAGTAGAAAGGATCTAGAAGACAAAATGGGAAATCCAAATACATGAAGTAAAGCCCAGATGTAAGTCATATAAAATGGATATTTTTCATGAGAGTTTAACTGATACTAACATAGCATGTGTGATATTTTTATAAACATTCCCTGAAGACCAAAAATTCTAGGAAATGGGGCTCACAGAATGTGTAGCGTCTCCTAAAGTAGATTGAGATCTCAAACAGCACACAAATTTAGACTTGGAATAAGAAAATAATTTTCACAGCAAAACACAGAATTATTTCTGGAAAATTGGTTCTTTAAAGCAGATGTTGGTCTTTATAAAACAATGTCTGCACTCTACAGTAGTTAAAAATAACTAAGTTTCTTAGTGTAGTTCCAACAAGAAAGAGCAAGTTACACTGTCTTTGCTTCAAACATATGACTACCAGACAAAGAGCCCATTTCTTTTGATTTTAACATGTTTCTCACTTCTTGCTGGCATATTAGAGACTATCTGCCTAATTCAATACAGTTTGCACAGACAAAAGGGACTTTTAATCCAAGTCCAGGATGATGATCTGTTTGCTTAAGACTGACTTTGAGCAGCTGGGGTGGTGGCTGAGTGGTAGAGCGCTTGCCTAGCACATGCGAGGCTCTGGGTTCAATCCTCAGCACCACATGAAAATAAATAAATAAAATAAAGGAATTGTGTCCACTACGACTAAAAATTTTAAAAAAGAGTGGCTTTGACAGAAATACTCATATGAGTATTTTGATAGACAACTTGATGAAAACCTCTTGATGTAATTTTTATCATGAATGACCAGCAAGTATAAATGATCTGAAGGTTAAATAAAAAGCCTCCTAGCAATGTAAGATGTGAAGTTATGGGGCTCTGTCTAGCAGGCGATAACTCATATTCCATGCCTTCCTTCCCCCCACACTGTGTGAACGAGAGCTGGTGTGATATATTACCCCTCTGTGCACACGAAAAATTTATGAGTCCACATGTTCCTTTTCAGTATGTTCAAATTATACAAAGGTGAATGAGGCATTCTTCTGATGGATTCCATTATTTCAAGACTTCAATTACAAATAGTTGAAAACGAATAGCCAATAATCCCTGAATCATTAAAATACATACCAATCCCAACCCTTCCTCCCTTGCTAGCTAATAATTTCAGGACTTTATTTTCAGTAATCTTGCTACAAGACTATGATGAATTAAAAAGTGGCTGCTGTGTTGACAGCCTTTCAGAGTGGAGAAATCCATTATTTTGAAAGCTCTCCATTTTCTATCTTATATGCATGGATGGAGTTCGTTGCCAGTGATTTCAAATGACAATCTAGGACACTCAACTGGCCCCATCTAAGCCAGGACTTACTAAATTGTGATTCAGCAACGATTTCTGAGAACTCATGATGTGTTCACATTTTGATTTCTTGTGGGCCTGATCTGACTTCCAGGGTGGGACAGTCAACCCCAAATTGTTGTGATCCAAGGGGTACCACAAATGCTTCTCTAGTTTTTCCTTGGTATTTTTTTCCCTATCTATCTAGGAATATTATCACTAGAGCTTAATTTTAAGGCCATCTAGTCTCATTTTCTGGTCTTCTATTAAAATACAAGTAGCTAATGGGAAGATTATTGTCTAGGGAGGCATTATTATTTAATGCTTAACTGGAGGGTTTCTTTTTCAGGTTGTTTCCAATCTTTTGCGGGTGGTTGAGAGCAAAATGCTATGGGAAAGTGCACTGTTCAGACAGTTAGGAGTCTGAGAGAGTAAGGGTGGAAAAGAATGAAATGGTATTGGGGCCTGAGCAGTGTTTTCGTGGGACTAAACCTCAACATTATGATCCTTTAATGAGTGGTTTGTAAGAAATAGACAGGAAATAATGGAATGGAATTCTTCATGGATAATAATAATTAAAAAGCTTACCATTATAATGTCTCCTCCTAGGAATATCTTCAAACTCTTTTATCAAGATTCTGACCTTAACAACTCACTATGTTACAATCTAGGTTACACGTTCAATCAAAGCTTAGGCTAACACATTAAAAATACTAAAGGCATACAGTTCAGTGGATTCAATGTTGAAGTGTGTTAGGAACTGAATTTAGTTCCCCCCCCCCCCCGCCCAAATTCATATATTGATGCCCTAATGCCCTACTTTAGAAAGTGACTATTTTGGAGATAGGGCTTTAAAAGCAGTAATTAGGGTTACATGAAATTTTAAGGATGTGGCTCTAATACAACATGACTGATGCTCTTTTAAGAGGAGGAAGGGATGTTAGGTATGCATGGGATCAAGGAAAAAGTTATTTGATGACACAGTGATGAGGATTATCTGCAAGCCAAAGACAGAGGAGAAACCAACTCTGCTGGCACACTGATCTTGGGATTACAGCCTCAAGAACTTTGAGAAAATAAATTTCAGTCCCTCAGTCTGTGGTATTTTGTCATGGCAGCCTTAGCAAACTAATAAAAAGTGGAAGAGATCAGAGAGCATTATTTTTTTTAATTCTTGCACAATGTCACTTTTAATTTTTCATTTTATTAACCCCTATTAATTGGCTTTGCCACATCAGTGAATTGCTGGTGCTCGTTCACATTTAGCACCTCTATATACATAAAGCTTAATGGTCTACTTTTTCATCTACTGTATTCTTCTATACTAAGGAGTAATAAGGGCTACTCTACACAGATGATTGTTTTTAATGGTAAAATATTTATTTTATTGTTAAAACATTTATTTTATGTTAAAAAAATTTCTGCATATCCTGACAATTTTGTTCAGGGTAAGAGGGAATTTTAGGTACAGCACTATCAATATTCTACATCTGCAGGTAAACACCTACTGAATACCAGGGACTGTGTTAGGTGCCAGAGAGGATCTGTTTCCCATAGAGGGGAAGATAGATGGTAAATCAACCACCCACCCACCCACCTAAGGATGACGGTTATGATGAAGAAATAAACAATATACCATGACAGTGATTTATATAGGAACCTACCAGAGGTGGTACCTTTAACCTAAGATTGGAATCTGGAAGAGTCAGCACACATGCATATGGAAGGTGGGTAGCAGTGCAACGAGGAAGAATGTTCTAGACAGAGGGAAGAGCCAGCATCATGGTCTTGATGCAGGAAAGAGCTTGGCTTGACTTAGGAATTGATCCAATGCTGATGTGACTAAATATTCTGATGGAGAGGGAGAACCTCAGGAGAGCTGAGACTGGGGAGGGGTAGGCGAGGGGCAGCTCACACAAGGGCTTGTAGGCCCTGGTGAGGGGTCTGGGTTGTAAACTAAGTGCAGTAGGAATCCAGCAGGCAAGCTGATGAAAGTTTAGACCTCATATATGAAATTCAGAAGTGGGCATTTTAAGAATGTGGTACGTGTCTTTTTTTTTTTTTTACCAAATATAAAATATTGTAGAACAATTTCAAGCTAGTTGGGTTATCAATCCATTTATCAAGATATCTCTTGGCATTACAAAAGTACAGTCTCTTGTACAGGAGGAAAACACAAGCAGAACATTTTTAACTCAGTTTTATGAGAAGTCTAACCAAATGTCAGCAATCGATTGTGACAGTGAACTGTAGACTGGAGCGTTAGGCTGTTTTCCCTCCGTCCCTTCCAGAGTTAAAAGGAATATGCTAGAAGCTTCTGAATGATAAACATGTGGAATATAATTGTGGTTGGAGGTAGAAGTTCTACGTTTGTTTCTAATCTTTGGTCTGCCAGCCAGAGACACTTCCCTGTAAGTCTCTGGTAAACCCAGATACTTGGTAAATTTAGGGGAGAGCAGAAAAGCCCCACCATGGTATATTTTGAGATACCTCCTACCTGAATTGGAGAAGGTGCTTAAAAGCCATAAAGGATTTTTTATTTTTAAATTAGGAAGGCAGTAGCAGAAGTTCTCCCCTGAGTTGCTATTACCGTAGGTGGCTTATCTGACATTAGAATCAGCAATGACTTGAGTGTTTCTTTAATTTATCAGTGGACTACTTACACATGGGCCACTTTCCCATGGTGTTAAGTAGTTAATATAGGATAGAATAGTACAAGATTCCCACGTCAGGAGCCTGTCTGAATAGTGGCAGAGACCAACCTTTTGATGGAGATCAACTGAGGTGCCCATTTGCTGAGCATCTCATGAAGGATGCAGACAGGAGCCGGAAAGAATGGGGAAGAAAATGGATGGTGGCTGGTTTCAGAAAATCTGTGTGCAAGCCCCTAATGACATATAACCTTGGATGAGGTCTTAATGTCGTGGGGCTTGCATTTTCTTAATAGGGAAATGGAAACAATATCCAACCTTCTAGGACTTTGAAAAAGTAAATTAAATAATGTGTCGGAAAGGACCCTGTCATTTATAAAGCACTTCATAAGTGCAGAATTTATTATTCCCATTCTGTCTATCTTGATGAGATAAAAGAAAATGAAAACAAAATTCTTGCCTTTTTAGAAGCTTAGAATTACTACGAGAGGTCACAACTCATGGAGCTAGTTCACAGAAGTTAACTTACAGGCAATCACCATTTTTCTTACCCATATGTGTTCAAAATATTTATTAAAGGGAAATTAAAAAATCACACAGTAAGAGATGCAACTGCAGAAGTAAATATGTGTAGGCTGCAGTGTGGAGAAATTACCCATGAAAGCTTCCTAGAGGGCAAGTGTTGATGCAGGTTTTATAAAAAGTGATGTTAGCACAGTGGCCATGAACTTGGATGGATAATAGTTAAAATCTCTGCTCACTGTTTAGTAGCTGTGTGACTATGAAAGAGTCAGGTAAACTCTTTAAAATGATTCCTTCACTCATTTATAAAATGGAAATGACTGTATTTACTCTGTGGGCTTACTCTAAGGACTCAGAGAAATCATGTGCATGAAGTTTTAGCAGAACTTAGCATGAAGCAAGTGCTTTAAAAATAGTAGCTCTTATGATTATTACCATTATATACCTCACAGTTTTGAATGATGGTCAAGCATTAGAGTTCTGATGACAATATAGAAGGTGATAGATCACTATATCATTTATATAAAATCATGACAGGTGTGAGAAATTGTCAAGACCTAATAAAACATAAAGGAAATGGAGGGGAAAAAATGAGAAATCTGAAGAAGTTGGAACTTATTAAGGGGGTGGAAAAAACAATGAGAAATATGAAAGCAGCTGTTCAAATGGAGCCTGCTTCATTGATCAGTCTTACATGCTGTTTTGTTTTCAAAATATAAATCCCTTGTAGCTTTATCAGGCAGAGGTAAGGTGTCTCTACTGAGACAGTACGATGATCTTAAGTGACCATCAAGTCAATATGATTAATCATCTCAGTAGGATAATGGTTAGTAGTGACAGACTCTGAGCTTTCCTCTTTGGAGATTTCTTTGTTACAGCTTTAATTAAGAAAAGGTCAAAGAAGAGTGGTTGAAATGACTGGGATGCACTTAGAATTATGGGGGAGAGGATGGAATGCTATCACATCACTGCCTTTTGATTGAATCTCTACTGACTGAATTCTTTGAAGATTACAGATACGTTTTTTAAAAAATAATTATTGAATTTCTCAGCTCCCATTAACATCAGGGTACTAAATTTGTTGGTAATAAGATTAAGGCAATCTTGTAGTTTTGAGAGGTTGAGCTATGAAAAAGTAGCTGCTACTGTATCCAGAAGCTCAGGGAATTTGAACAAAGTGATGGGATTAGTCAGCTGAAGAGTATATTCTTAACCATAAGGAGGGGATTAAATTAGCGTGCTTATACATTTTTAAACACACAAATTAATAGGTGTTTATTATATTAATCTATTAAAACAAATGAACATTCACTAGTTCATCAAACCTAAAATTGTCTTGGGCTAATCTTGCAAAAATAGGTCTAAGGCGTCAGAAGCAGTAATAGAAAGGAACTTTGGAAATAGTCAAGGTAGGAGAGAGTTCTAGAAATGAAGTGGTGAGGACAGTGAGCATCAAGCAGTGGACATTAAGTGTTTCAGCATGCCTTTGTGAAGTGGAAAGGGGACCTGGTAATGCTGAAGGTGGAAAACACTTTAATGGGAATTTAACCCACTGGTTCATTTAGTAGTGGTAACCTCAGAAAAACTATGGACCCTTAGCTCAGAAAAAAATTGGAGTTGTTCAGCAAAATTAAAATATTTCCAAAGAATTGGTTGGCTAAATAATTCTTGTATAACAGTAGCCTAACCTAGATTGAAACAAACATCTAAGTTTACAGTCTGTTCTTTCATTTTCATTCAAATTGCAAATGTACAATTATTAAGAAAATCAAGTAGCTTTAACCAACCTCCTATGTCACAATTGAAATAGAAAAACTTCATGAATAAATATTTTTTTTATGCTTATGCCAGATATTTTATTACACATATATTTCTTTTTTATACCTTCCTGACACCCCTTCCACCACTACCACCAGTTTTGCTCTCTTTGTTGATTCCTCTTATGAATAAATACCTTTATCCTAACATACAGGGCTACCTGAATTCCATATTTACACATCTGAAAGCAAACTTTGTATGTTCTGGGACTTGAAAGCAAGCTTCATCAGTATGGTACTCAGATATGTTCTTAAGTAATCGAATTGTTGAAAGACAAAGAAGTGATTTCCATATGATCCTATCATACTACTTTTGTTCTTTTTCAGTTCTATGTTAAGTGAAAGGGCATTGTTTCACAAATTAGCATGTCCTTGAAATAAGACAAGTGTCTGCATCACCAGCCTGTGGTCATCTGATAGGAAATAGCAAAGAACTGACTGGTGGGACCCAGTGTCCTGCATCCACCTGAATGCTCATCTTTGGCACAACACCCATTTGCACAAGTTTTCACCTTAGCTAAGACATAAACAAGGTTACAAATCCTATGATATATTCAAGGGAAATATCCAAACTAACATGGCAAAAGACTTCTATATTGAATTAGGTGAAAAGTGTCTTCGTGACACCTTCGGCATGCCGTGGCTCTGCCCCTTGCTAAGACTCCTTGTCACCAGCTCAGACTGTTCCCCTTTCTAAGGACAGTCAAGAAGCCAAACCTGCACTAACCATGATGGGTTGTTCCGGAGCATGTTGACATACAGCCCGATGAGAACATGTTCATCGGCTAGCCTGTCTGCCACATTCAGGCTGTACTGTATCCTGAAACAGGGCAGGAGGAAAGAAAGAGAGGTGAACAGAAATGAGCAGGAAAAGCAGGAGTGAGTCTGTGGTAGAAAAAAAAAAATCTGGAAATCCGAGGCAGTAAAGGGAGTGTCTAAACAATGTTCTAAGAAAAACACAAGCAAAACCCAGGCAAAGAAATTCACAATTTCATTTGACTAACTTTACAAATGAAGACTTCCATTTAGGCTGAACAATTTTTTTGGAAAACAGATCTGCATTCTTTGACCATGAAGGCCAAAGAATTCATCTGTACTGTAAGAGGTTGCAAGCAAAGCAAAAAAAATTTTTTTTGAAAATCATATCATCAGGTTAGTCATTTAAAAGAAAAACAAAGGATATTAGAAAGTGAATAACAACACAGATGTGTCCACGCAAAATAACTAGTTGGTGCTGTTAATTGGGTTATGACAGGTCACTGCTTTCACTAAACTGAATATGGTCTTTCACTCACAGAGCATTTTTGCAAAAGAAACTCCATTTTTAGTTTGGTTAGTTCAAGGTTCCAGTGCACTCTGGCTGTAACTTACCCTTTGCCCTTCAGCAAAGCTGGAGCAGCCCTAGCCAGCATTTTGTTCTGCTCTACTTCACTGTCCTTGGGAGGAGAGCTGGTTAATAAGATGGGAAAGCCAAGAAGAGCGTAAACACGGCAACGCATTCAAGACAGAAACTGGCAACAGAAACTCCCAAGGCTAGATCCAAGCTCTATTTGCAAAGATCTGCAATATTTTGAAACTTTCAAGATGTTTTCAGATCTCCACAGAGTTCGACTAGGAGTGAAAACCTGGTCTGAGAACTGGAATTAGAATTACACAGGCCACTTCAATTCCAGATTTGCCCTCTGCTGTTTGCTCAGTAAGTGAGCATTTATATTTCATATGCCTAGACATCATGAAAATTTTTTCAACATCCATTAGAGGTTAGCATGAAAACAGTCCAGTAGTTCACCAAGTCCTGCCAACCTTTAGATCCCACTCTAAAGGAATTCTTCTGTCGTCCCTAAATTTTCCAGCTGTCTATGTTGCATAGACTTGAAAAGTACCTAGAAATGGCTGTCATATTAATAGTGTTTTACTACTTTAAGCACAAGTCACTTGACCCTTGACTGAGAAGTTACAAAGAAAACTGTCAGAGAAACAGAAAAATATACTCTGGAGATTATATATGTATTCGTATTTCTTATGTCAATATTGATATATAAGTAGTGAATAGAGTCCTGTCACTAAAGCCATTTTTAACATAGGAATATTAATTTCATTTAGTAATTTAAAGGACAATTTTAAGGTTTGAAATATTGTTTTATAATTAATCAAGTATGGCCAAGCCAAAGTCACCCAAGATTTACTGTGATGAATAGGCATACTTCCCTGGGATATATGCTATTTCAACTAGATTAGTAACCTGTTTTAAGAGAGTTTGCTCCTTTGTAGGTTAAGAATTTCCCTACACATTGGTGTACCTAAAACTATCCCACACTTCATGGAAAATACAAAGGTAAACTGTCCAACTTTGTTAAAATACCAAGTAATTAGCATGGTATCTAAAAGTATAGGGTTTTGCCACAATTTTCTCTAGATTATATATAAAGTATTAAAATCTTACAAAACTTTTAACTACAAATTTTAAGGTACTACAAAGTACCACTTTTTCAGACAGAAATTCAAAACACATAGAAATGTATAAATGAATAGCCTTAGAATTATACATATTATGATTAGTATTGTTACTTTGTAACAGTGTATTCAAAAGCTTCCTTAAATAGTGAAATCTGATAAATTTATGTCAAATTTGATTTATAAATAAAATGTCATGATAGAGTAGCCGATGGTGTTTGTGAGTATTTGGCATATTCACTTGGCCTTTTAGATGGGCATCTGTAACATAAAGTATTTCTGTGCTTAAAAAGTATAGCTGCACATAAAAGAAAAGTGACTTTAGAGTGTGGGGTGCAATGTGATGTTTTGTTTTGGTGTATGTACATATTATTGAATGATCAAATCAAACTAACATTTATCGTATCATATACTTATTTTTATTGTAGTAAAAATATTTAAATCCTATTCTTTTTGTGGGGGGGATATGGGGATTGAACTCAGGGGCACTCCATCACTGAGCCACATCCCCAGCCCTATTTTGTTATTTTATTTAGAGACAGAGTCTCACTGAGTTGCTTAACGCCTCGATGTTGCTGAGGCTGGCTTTGAATTTGCCATTCTCCTGCCTCAGCCTCCCAAGCCACTGGGATTACAGGCATGTGCTACCGAGCCCGGCTGAAATCCTATTCTTGCAGCAATTTTGAAGCACACAATTTGATGCTATTAACTACAGTCAACATGCCCAGCGATAGAGCATTACAACTTTGAAAACAATAAATTAGATGAATGTTCTAGGAGACTCTTCTTTCCTGATGGCCTTATTTTTTTTCCAGCATATTGATCTTTATATTCTAAGACTGAAATATACTCATCAGGGTCAAAGACCACCTTAACCCCTCATAGGTGGTGTTTTCAGTGATGTTCCCTTATCCCACCAACACAATATCCCAAACCTGTCTACTATAGTCTTTCTATTGCCCAATATCCTCAGTGACTTTTTTTTCTGAATTAAGGTAGATTTATCTATCATATAATTGATTTCAGATGCTTGCAAAACCACTTGGAACACTGTGTGAAATAGCAATGATTCTTTCCTCCCAACTAAAAGATTTCCCTGCCTTATTGTGTTTCTTTGTTCTTTGAATCCCAGAAACAGTGTAGCAGTATTTCTTTAAACCAATCTAATAATTACCCATGTATATCCACTGATGCTGAATGTGTGAGATAAAAAGAAAAGAGAAGAAAAAGAGCAAAAAGGAACACAAGAAAATCAACCAAAGAAATATGTTTGCTACAAACTATTCTGGTGGTGCTTTATGGGAGAAACCCACGGTTGCTGTGGTAAAGCCCAAAAGTGATCTTCCCACCACTTGGTCACTCCACAAACATGGAGGAGCTTTCTGATATAAGTATCTAGTAGGGACAGGGTGTCAGGAAAGAGGCAACTGACTAGTTTTTCATTGGTGATCTTATTTCTTTTTCTTCAATTATTTAGCCTTTTCTCTTTCTTCCTCTCCTCCATTACCCTGTTTTCCCTCTTCTTTCCGGATCTCTCCTTCCCTCTAAGAGATGAGCAGATATTCTAAGTAGACACATCTCTTTGGGTTTTGTTATTTTCTTTGTACTGACCCTTGCCAGTGCTGGCTTGAGGGAATCATTTAAATCCTTTCATTTTCTTTTTCCTCCTCATATGAATTATTGGAAAAACCTGTTGCTGAAAAATATAAGGGTAATACCATGCACATTTTTGAGTTTGTGGAAATAAATTATTTTGTTTTGCTACAGGAGCAGGAGCATTTCTTCCTTTTTTGGTACTTACTGTTCACATATTTCTACACTTCCTGGAGCTAGATTTAAATTCTCATTACTTGTTTCTGGGAAGTCAAGAATATGACCATGCATGAAGGTGGCCAAGGGCACAAGAAAAAAAAATAGCTACTCTTTCAAAATAAAATAGATCAGGAACTTCAGAGAGTTGAGTTAGAGGCAGGTTTTTATTTAAACTTGAGTCTTTAAAGTCTTCCCACCTGAGGTACCTTCTCCAGAATCCCTTCTGCTGCTCCCCAGGAGCTTGAAGAAGGGAAGCAAAGTGAACTTTTTTTTTTTTCTTCTGAATTGTGAAGACAGTGACTCCTTGAGGCAATGTATTCTCCTGCTGTTTCATGGAATAGTTTAGATTTTTAAATTTTCATCTTATAGCTGGGTGGCTTGCATTGAGAAGTGAAGTGGTATTTCCAGTTGATTATGGGCTTTAGGGTCAGGCACATGGATGGCACCTCTTCCTTACTCAGAAGCACTGACAGCATCTCAGTGTGTCAGAATGCAATTATGCCATTATACAACTCTAGCTATTGCTCCCAAAGCTGCTCTTTGCCCTGTCTCAAATCGAAATGCACTCTTCCTTTCAGCCTCTGAAACTGGGAACTACTTGGGGCTCCCTCCACATGGAGGATAACATGGCTGATAACATCTTTCCTAATCTAAGTCTCAAGGAGAAGCAAGACCACATTCCCAAATCATATATATATGATGTGTTTACATATATCTCATTTTTTTTCTGCCAGGCTCATGGCAAGTTATACAGACATCCCTCTGCACACATATCATCATTGCTGTTTACCCTGGAGGGCACGGCAGGAAATTTTACAATTTGTGTGTTCTGCAGGAGGCAAAACGGCAGGGAATATTCCTTGAGATTGTGTTTTATTTTTTTTTCCCCTAAAATATCTTCAGCAATTTACTTTTAAAAACCTCTCTGGAAAACAGCATATCTAATGATAAATAGCCTTTTCCCAAAAGTTTCATACAAAAGCCTACAGATATGCAATGACTTAATGGATTCTGGAAGGATAGATATATTCATGCTTGTTTATTTTTAATTCTCCCCTTAGTTTTGGTAACAACCAAAGCCAGTATTTTTAGTTTAGTGCAAACATTTTTAGGAAATCCTCAGGTAACAAAATTATACGCAAATGCTCCCTGGAGTCTTACCTGAACCTTGAATGCGTTTTTAAAAGTCACTTATGCCTATGTTGGATCACTATATCAGTCTTAGTCAAATAACTTTTTTCTTCTACTGAGCACAGTATTTAAAAAGCCTGGATAAGAATATTATATAATCAAATTGGGAAATATGAAATATAATTATTACCACAATATTTAAAAATAAATATTTATTTCTGTTGATTCTTGAATAAATCTGTGTGGTATTTGGAGTTGTAAAGAAGGATTTGTAAAGTTGACTCCCTCTTTAAGTAACTTTCACTTGTGAATAAAATTTTTCTTCTCACTACTATTTACACAGTTTAGTAATAAAGTCATCAAACTAATTAAGCACAATTAGAGTCCATTGATCAGTTTTAAGAGATAATTTCCTGAAACATCCTGTTTCACTTTCTTTTTCTAAGCTTTTAGTAGCTTAGAATTGAAATGTAAAATGTCTCTTATATGCAAATCAGCAAGCATATAAAAAATAGGTTAGCATCTTAGTAGAAGAGTTAGATGTCAATCAAGTACGGCAGGCATAAATGTTGTCTCATGTTGAACAGGTACCAATCCTGCTTACTATGATGTCCCCCAGTATTATCAAGTCATAACAATTGCATTTTGCCAACAGAACCTAGAGAAGAGTGTTCTGAGTGCACAGTGTGTACCAAAATCACCTGAAGCATGTTAGTAAGATTAAAAAGGTTAACAAAGGAAAAAAGAGAGGTGATTGTGGTTTTAATTATGCACTAACAGTTAAATATAGGAAATTGTTAGAATTGAGTGAAAAGACTGAGTGAATTCAAGTTTGAAAAAAATTTAGTGCATACGTGGCTCTAGGGATACATGAAATAAAGAATTATCTACAGAGGGTAATTATTTCAAATTTCATGTAATTTCACACAATATCCTCAGAACAGTGTAAGACTGAAGACATCTTCAGGGTGGTGTCAGATGTTGATTTATCTATTTCTCCATTTTTATGACTGAAAATGGATAGGCTTCTTAGAAAAAAAAATAGTCATGGAGAGAACTTTTGATTTTCAGAAGCAAATCTACATTCAATATGTCAGTTTTATTTCTAGACACTTTTGATTACCAAATTACAAATGCTTGAAAGTTAGTTTGAACAGTTTAATTCAGATTAAAAGCCTTGGTTGTTAGGTAAATAATCTTTGGGTAAGCAAAAGCATTTGGAAAAAAAATTTAAAAAAAACCCACAGTGAATTAGTTTTTCTTTGGATGAAAACACAACCCAATTAACCCAATGACCAAGAAGGAGTCAACCAACAAAAACCACCAACAAATGCTACTTCACCCAGGAAGAACTAGGATTTAGGAAGTGCTTGGGGTGGGTGGAGGGCCCTCCTCATAGGTATTATAGAGGCTAATAATGTCAGTAATAACCAGTGTGACTGCAATGAACCAGAAAATGGTATATTAGACTGCATTCAGCACACTATATGAATTCCAAGTCATTTCCTAATAATGACAGGATGATAGGATCTGGCTAGGTGCTCTATGTAATAGCCCCAAAGCTTCCTTTTATGAGTGATTACCACCTTAGAAATTGCAACTATGAAAATACCTGTGAAGTCTTTAAGCAATATTTCTAATATCGGAGGTAAAAGAAACTAGTCATTCAAACTTCCAGTGTGCCTTATAATGGCCAATGAAGAAGTTGGGCCATAATCAAAGAAGTTTATTTATCATACGAAAGGCCTAATTAACTCTCTTATAAATTAAACCAGGATTTTGGAAAGATAATTAAGATTTTACAAGAGGCACCAACAAAGAAAGAAGATCCTCAGAGGCCCGAGGCTGTGGGCAGTGAACGGGAGAGAGGGCCATATGAGCCTGGCTTTGTGGTCAGTCCTTGCGATGATATTTGCAGTAAGGCTATGTCATCTTTCATAAGCTTAGATAAGATTGCTGGCTGCCATGTTTAGCTATTGGAGGCCTCTTCCTAGTGAGCATGATCGATGGCCATCAATCCAGCCATTCTTTCCTATAAATTTACAAGAAAACAATCTTGGCATAAGAACATAGATAATGATCAAGAAAATGAATGAGGTGAATATGTCTATAATTTATATTATTTGACCCACATCCTACCTAACTGCTAATCAGCACTGAGTGCACACATGCGCATGTGTACACATTTAGACAGGTACACACACACAAGAGGACTTCAAAGGACTAAAAGAGAGTGCCTTTGAGAATCCCTTCTTTTAAGTAATGGAAAAGTGTATCAAATATATCACTGGAAAAGGAACAGGGCATGTGACAGATGGTGGTGGTAACCAGAGGTACACACTCGTAAATCTGTGTGAGGTGGATTACTCGGGATATCAGAAGACTTCAAAGATTCACCCTAGTGCCTTTTGAAGATCAAAGTGGTAGACTTGTAAAGGACTCTAGGCGGGGAATGCCAGGAGTGTGGAGAGAGGATTTTGCAATGGTGATTTTAATTCATCCTCACTCTGTTTTATCTTTCTAAGATCTCTGAGATTTCTAAGTTAAAGTACAAAAGACTAACAACTCAGGCTAAATAAAATACCTGCATGGCCAGCTTCCCTACTTTATTAATGCTGCCCTAATACTGAACAGTACTGTTCTTGGCCTGCTTCGGTTTTATTTGATTTTAAAGGGGGCAGTTGGGGGTGCAGTGGGGTTGAGGGCAGACTTCTAGGTTATATGTCTTTAGTCCTGCTCCAATCATAGAAGGAATAGGGCCTTTAACTTATGCCTTCATCTGGCATGATGGGTTTCTATCAACCTCAGTATATCGACATACTTAAGAAAGCAAAGTGGATCACCATCATTATCAAGTGACAGAAACCAAGCACTGATAGTTAGAAGTTGGTTTGGAAATTGCTACTCCTACAGGAATCAGACTGTTCTTCTTGGGGGAGAAATGGCCCTTGCCCAGTGGAAAAGAAAGGTCTTAAGGCTGGTTAAGTCCTTAAGTCTTTCTTTAACTGCAGTAAGGTCCAGCCACATGACATAACATCCTACTTAGCACTAAAGATCATCCCCAATGGCTCTTTAGTTCTAGTGTCTTAGAAGTCATCCTCTAGGGACTTAGAGATTACACAAAATCAGAGAGTTGTCCAAATGAGAGCCAGCCCAGTACTCTTCACATATTCACCTCATATGTACTGGTATGAAGGTATGAAATGAATAAGAAAGAAAAGAGCTGAGAAGTCCAGCTTAGGTTGAAAATTTTCTACGGAAGCTCTTTAAATCCCAGAAGAACTTCATCTCCACTAGGACATGTGATAGAAGGATTTTAGTGCTCTAACAGAGAGACTAGCCATCTAGCTGGGGGAACTACATCTATGATTAGTGATTTAGGGATACTGACCGTGTGCTGTGGTCAAGCTGATTTACATACAGCTTAATGAGCGAATGCTCTTCAGCCACAGGGCTGGGTGCACTTATCCCCTCAGGTAACCTGAGGGATGCAAACAATGAGACCTCATTAAAACCTCCATGGACAGAGCAAGGCCCACTCAGAGAGGAAGAACATTCAGTGTACAGAGCTTTATTGAACAGCACCCTTCACACAGAAACCAGGGTCCAGTCTCCATGGTGACAGGAAGAACTGCACGCTTTAAACAACATGTCTGTGGTTCACAGGGAACATGCCAAAAGGACTGAAAATGGGAGAAAAGGGAAATGATCATGTTTTAAGTTAATGGGTAGCATGTACCCTGGAGAAAGCAGAACAGCTCAAAGCATTATAGGCATATTTTAGGGTAGAGGAAGTCATGTTATCCATCTAGACGCATCCACCATAAGCACCGTCCGAGCTGAAATGATATAAAATGACCTTCAGTAAGGATGGGGTCTACCTCTGCTTGTCATTTACAGAATGTAGAGTTTCCTAATAAAAGCACAGTTACTCTAAATATCACACCGGTCCTTTCCTAGGTAGATGAACAGGCCTGTGTGTCTTATAGACTTCACAGGTTAGGGTTTTCTTTTGAATTTGCTGGTGGTTCTGGAAAAACCAACAGGAAGTTAGTGAGGACTTAAAATCATCATTTTGCTGTGGATGTTCTGCAGTACCAGGACCTCCTCATTTCTACTTGTTGGAAATAACATGTACTGCCCATTGTCCTAATTCTGCTTGCTATAATTATGGGATGGTGGGAAACATCTTCATCTCAGGTTCCCATTGATGGGCAAACGTAGGAATGCAGGGGAAAAATTAACAGTGTGTTGAGTCTTGCTGTCTTCTGATCCTTACTAGAATATGCCAGGATATTTGTGAAACTGGAACTTTACAAAACTCTTTGGGGAAAAGATGGATGGATTATGTTTTTTTTTTTTAATATGAGCTTTTTTTTTTTCCTCCCATTCTATCGATTTACTGGCAAATGCCATCATTTCATTCTTCTTTACGGCTGAAAGGCATTTGAGAGCTTATGTTAAATTACTCACTCCAATTTTCCTTACCTCTGTTCCTGATTTCCTGTAAACCTTCTCCATGTATATACAAAACAACTTTCAGGTGCTTGATTTGTGATATTTGATCAAATGACTCAGAGCACCTCTTGAGCCCTGCATGTTTCCAACGCTAACTGTTAGAGAGTACACTTCTCCTGTTCCTGAATCTTGTGCAAAAAAGATGAGACATACATCCACCCTTTTAAAAAGTTCTTGTTATCATCCACTAAGTTATGTACATGGAAACTACATTTCTAAGTTTGGTCTTCAGCCTCTAGCCTCAGGAATTCCAGAAGAGGACTTGCCAGTAGAAGATTCCTTTATATCTGGAGCCTCAAATAATGAGATATTTCAGAATCTAGATAATAACATGCCACACATCTTTAAATTCCAACAGACCACTCCATGTGCTATAACATGACTCACTCGGTGAGATGGAATACCTGGGCGTCCATAGTGAAATTAGAACGTACCCCACATTCTTACTGTGGGGGCAATTAGAAATGCAGGTTTCGAGAAATGACATGAACCCCAAAGGCATCCCAGCCCTCTTTAAATGCTTCCAAATAACTGAAATTGAAGACCTGGGATGGATATGTACAAGTCAGTTTCCAATAATAGTCTCCTTCACTTGACTTACAATAGAATATTCTTCTTGCCATGGAACCAAGGCTTATTTCACAACAGGACTTAAGAGGACTGGAACTTACCTCCTGGTAATAAAAGGACTTCCTGAGGAGGGAACAGAGTGGGAGAACAGGGTGTCGTTCATGCTGGTTACAGGTCTGGGAGGCCTAAAACAGAGTACAGTGAGTGTGGACATTTAAAGCAAAGCTGAGTCACAAGTGAAAAACTATCCACAGCCTTTGAGGATAGGGGATGGGAAGATGTTCTACCCTGCTCAGGGTCCATACGAAAGCAGACATGCTCCAGTTAGATTATTCAAGTGTTTTAAAGTTCTATTTCCTTGAGAATGTAGCATCTCAGTAAAACACGGAAGGAAGGTCTCTGGACAACATGAGCAGGTTTATTCATGGGCTTGGAGCCTTGGTGTTTCACTGAATCATGTTCTCGAATGGGTCAGGATGTGGAAGAAGGCTGTTGCCTTACTTCTACTTGGAAAACCTGATGATCAGAATCCATATCCTTTTGGAAAGAGGAGGATTCCTGAGCTCTTGGAAACTCCCCTTTATGTTCCCCATGACAATGGCCCTCTCTAATATACAAAAGGGCACAGGCTGCCAAACAATATTTTGCCCTATTTTCTCTTTATTTTTGTTGTTGTTGTTTATAAAACTTAAAAAATTTTTATTTGTTCTTTTTAGTTATACATGACAGTAGAATGTATTTTGACATATCATATATACATGGAGTATAACTTCTCATTTTTGTGGTTATACATGATGTGGAGTTACACTGGTTGTGTATTCACATATGTTATGTCTGATTCATTCTACTGTCTTTTGTATTCCCATCCCCCTCCCTTCTCTTCATTCCCCTTTGTCTAATCCAGTGAACTTCTATTCTTCTTTACCTACTGCTTATTGTGAGTTAGCATTCACATGTCAGTGAGAAATTTCAGCCTTTGTTTTTTGAGGACTGGCTTATTTCACCTAACATGATAGTCTTCCATTCTATCGATTTACTGGCAAATGGCATCATTTCATTCTTCTTTATGGCTGAATAATATATATATATATATATATATATATATATATATATATATATATCACATTTTCTTTATCCATCCATCTATTTGCTTTTTATTCTAAATGAAGGTACAATGAAACAACACAAGGATTCACTGTTTCTGATCTTGGACTGATCCCTATGATGGGGTGCATGGTGTAAGGTATCCCCTTACTTCACTCTATTCATATGATCAGTGTAAGGAAACAGGATTCAGTGTTTTTCAGAATTCTCCTTGGCCCTAAACATCAATTAAGTGCATCGAGTCTGTCTTCCATGGTCTTTCTTCATTTCATTCTGTCCCTCTTTCCCTATCATGAATATTTTTAGTCCAAACAAAACTATGGAGCCAAGATCCCTATCTCATCTCCAAGCAGTTTTTGGTCTTATTTTAGGTTCAGTGTAAGATACTGAACAATAAGGTGAGATGGGATTCAGAGTTCAGGAGATGGACAGGGAGGCAGGGAATCATTCTGAGTCAGAGGAAGTTTTGGTTTTAGTCTAATTCCATATTTGAATTTGACAGTATAGAATTTCTTGAAGATGAGGCAGTATTTACAGTAGCCCAGAGGATAAACTCAATTAATGTTGGCTTGGTTAAAAGCCAAATTTGTAAATAGTTTAATTTTTAGAGAACCAGAGTTAGTTTGGGATTTTATAACGATGAGACTCTGGGGAAAACAGACTTGTCTATCCCAATGTATTTATTGAAATGGACATGACACCCCATAGGTATTAAAATGTCAGTATTATATGCAACAATTCTTTGACATTTTTTCCTAGTAGATGGTGCTAAATGGTGATATGAGACACATTATTTATTGGAGGAGGTCAAAATAGCATATTCACTATTTAATCTACTCTGGATATATTAACTTAAGTTCTGAAAGTGATCTTAATGTTTTGCATTACCTATCTAGGTTGTATCTTGTTATAAGTGAGCAACATGAGGCTGATTTAACTAATTCTTTCTTGAGCCAAACACTTTATAATCAGGATGCTAATTTTATTCAAATTTCCTCTGTAATTACGAATTTAGGTACATCTGATTTTAAAACACTAAACAGAATGGAACCGCTTCATTGTAGCTTTGCAAAAATTTGAAAAGAAAATAAAAGTGACTCCTCATTTCTGGTTCTCTTTTGTCTGTTTTTAAAAAAATGCTCCTATCTTGTTCTATTTGCAGAAATTGAGAAAACAAGTGGATCTGGAATGCTTTTTAACTAGCTCAGTAAATTTACTCTATTGAACCTGGTCATTGCAAAGCTGAAATTGAGATTTCTCAGTAAATGGCTTCATGTATAAGGTTCACTATCAAATGTTGCACTTGGAAAACAGAATGGCTAACCTTGGCACCAAATGATGGCTTTCAGAAGGAATGAAGTTCCTATTTCCTCCATAGCCAAATGGCAAGTTGCCTTAATCCAATAAATAGGTCACATTGGGAATGTTACACATATTGACTCTCATGAAGACAAAACAGTTCCACAAAATGGAGGAAGTCATAAGGAATAGTACAAAGTGTTTTTTTTTCTCTCTTCTGGATAAGATCTTTGCAGAAGACATTTTTATAAAATTGGCATCCTTTTTTTTTTTAAACTCAGAGTTCTGCTCAAGGCAGAATAAGTTTAAACTAGCCTCATGTTGCTTACTTGTTTTGTGTCTCATGACCATTTATAATTATGATTCTAAATCTTTATAAGTACACAGGAGACTATTGAACTACTTACCAAGTATCACTTTTGGCAGCAAAAAAATCGAACAGAACAGAGACTGTTAATCATGGCAACATTTACGAGCAATACAATAGATAAGAACAAATGCCAAAAACCAAAATGCCACCACCTGCTCGTTTCTATTTAGGGACTGATTCATGGTTGGCAACACCTCTTTACTGCATGTGTATAAAATCCCTTGGCTATAGTAAGGGCATGGCATTTTTTTGTGTTACATGATTCATTTCCATATGCAAATGTGTGTGAGATAGCAGGATCACAACCTGTTTAAAAGTTCTATTGATTTGGTCTCATTTTACTCTATCTTAGCCTTCTTTTTTCCAATTTTTTACACTTAAAAGTTCAAACTAGAGTCTTAAATAATGAAAATATTTTCTAATTTATTTATATATGTATTGATCAAGTATAAGCCATGTATTTTTGTCTAATTTATATCTAGAACTTTTTACTTCTTAAGACTGGATATACATATTAGAAAACTAGTGCCATTTTTTTAACACAATCACAGCCAAGAAGTATGCATTTAAGAAGACTGTATAATGCTCAGCATTAAATTCCATATTCGTGAGCTTCAGAACATTAAATATATTTCATTGTTGCCAAGGGACATGCATTCGTCCTTTGCATGAACATCTGCATCATGTGATTTTTTTTCTAAGTAGTATCTTTGAAGAATTTGCACTAATTGACACAATGAATATACTTTTTTATAATAACAAAGAAAAAATGCTTTGTGTTCTTAGTTATGCTGTAATGCTCAGTGTCTCAATCCCAGGTCACCCAGTGCATGACAGAGTATGCTCATCAATATTGTCAGTGCCCACTGCTTCCTTATTACCTTTGTCTCTAAGCTTCTGTATGTGTGTAAGTGATATAGGCTGGAATACTCTTGTGAACTTACATGAAAATGTGTCCAAGGCATGATAAAGATGTGGTCTGTGCCACAACTGACAAACTGATTAATAAACTATTTGGAAAAGGTCAGGGATCATACTGTCAGGGTGCTCTTTGCTAGAGACACAAACAATAAAGTTCACTATACATATCCTTGTACTGGGGTAATATTCCCTCAGCTTAAGACCTTTATGCTTTAAGCCATATTGGGGAGCAATAAGAGAATTATGTGGGGGTGTGAATATTGATGTGTTCTTCAAGTGTTCATTCACTTATTTTCACTCTCTAGACATGGTACAATGGCTTATGCTAAAAGTACATGCAATGGAGAGTCAAATATTTTTGTCAAATGTATCAAAATTACATCTATAATAAGTTGAAAGGATTGTGAATGTTCATTAACTTCTCAATACATGCTGATTATGGAAGATTAAGGTAATATTCTTTGTAAAAGATGAAAGATGTGCCATTTATTTTGTCATTTAAATGACCCGTATATACTTGTGTTGATTTAGAATAGCTAAATGAGCAGCATAGTTTAAAATTAGAAGTCTTAGAATATCCTCACCCCTGAAAAGGTATGCATATCTATTCATTATATAGCATTTGACTAATGAAACAAATATGGGGGAGATTTCTATAGCTAAAAAATACAAAAAAATTCTAATATAAACTGGACTTTCTGCATCCAGAATTTCTTATATATTATTTTAACAATTAAATGCCTCATATAATTTGCATTTTAAAAATAAGATGAATTTGGAAAAAGTATTTTATCAGTGAGTGTAGATCAGTATTTTGATTAAAAAACTTTTGGGAATCTGGTTAAATATATGGAAGTTTTATCAGAAAAAGGCACATTTTGTGTAGAATTTTAAGGGAATTTTGAAATTTCTCCCTGGAACTCCGACTAAGAACCCATTGTAGGGGTTGGGAGTATAACTCAATGGCAGAGCATGTGCTTAGCATATTTGAGGTCCTGGATTCAATCCCCAGCACCAAGAATAAGTAAACACATTAAATGAAGTACTTATTGTGTAGATATTTCCTTTAGTTAATGCAGCAAATAACACATCAAATTATATTGTCCCTACAAATTAAAATTAAAAATTTTTTACTCAGTCAATTAACACAGAGAGACACACACACTCACACATACATGCACACCAACCCTAAGCATTGTGTGTGAGGTGGGTAAATGCACTCTGAAAGTGACTTTCATTTCATGGTGGCTCACTTTCTAATTCTCTCTAGAACTGAGCAGCAGCATCCTCATTCTGTTCTCCTGCAAAGTTCTTAGCTCCAAGTGACTCACACCCATACTCTATCGCCTTTGTGCCCATGAAGGCTGGTCTGTCCTCCTGGGCTGGTAGAAAGTGGCTCTGGGCAGAACTCACAGCATGGACTTGCTCTCTGTGTTATGTTCCTTCACTACCAACTTGGTGATGTCTCTTATTGACTATAGGAAAAAAAGTTGAGACCTTAATAGGAACAGCTCCTATGAAGCAGATTTCTCCAAGAGGGAAATTCCCCAGATTTATTTACTCCTAGAATATTTTTAGGAGAATAATTTCCATAAATAAGTTGGCCAACGTTTTCCATTTTGGTTTATATTAGTTTTCTGGATGCTTGGTTCAGACTAGTGTGTTGCCAGAGAAACAGGAGACTCTGTTCTGTGTGTATTGCTGGGGTCATTGATCCCTCAAAGCACACTCAGGAGCACACAGCACAAAGCCCTGCAGTATTTATACAAAGCTCATAAATGCAATATAGCACAAAGAAGTCGATGTATTTGCTTGGGCCCCTCAGAGGAAAGAGTTACTGCTTTCATAAGGGTCTTATCCCCCCTAGTGCCTCTTACAGCTCATGTTTGACCTGCCCAGAGTATGAACTTTGCATCAGTCAATTCTTATACTGTTAGGTCCAGGATCCTGCCTGCTGATGTCAACATGTAAATACAGACCTTGTGATATGGCAGTTCCCACTGAACAAAAGGTAACCCATAAGGAGGAGGAACCATCTATCCAGAGACGCCTGTGACTACACAATTCCTAACTGTACAGAGAAGCAGACAAAGAAAATTTTTCTTTTGAGCCCAAGTTCACAGCAAGGAAGAAGCACTTTCTTTTCCCTGAGCCCCTTCCTGTGGTGGCCGTCCAAACCTCAGAGAGGCCCCAGGGCCTGAGGCTTTGGGAGGTGGCTGGAATGGTGTCTGCATATCCAGTGGCCAACCTTTCTGCCCACAAACTCCAAATACTTTGGAGAATTTATCTATTTGGGTGGGGGTAGAGTGTTCTTATGAGGACTCCTACCAGTTCCCCCATTCAACCTTCTCATGCATAGATCATGAATTTTCTAAAGTTATGTAGCTTAGAATTAAAAAAAAAAAAACCCTACAATTTTTAGATTTGCTGGCTAATTTTAAGGTGACTGGCTGTGCAGAGAAATGAAACAAAGGGATTTTAGATTTGGGACTCAAAGTGCATTTGCTATTAAAGTATGATATGCTTAAATTTTTTAAAACCATGGTAATTCCCTTGAGCATTAACTTCCAATTGTGAAAACCCCACTAACATTTATATTTTAAAATTAAGCTTTTGAATGTTTTCCACCTCAAGGAGAATTACGTTAGTGTTGCCTACTTTACAGTCAAGCAGAAGAACTGTATAGGCCAACAAGGAAAACCTATTACTTTGTTTCTTTTTTTTTTTTTTAAGAATAAATTTTAAAACTTGGATTCTGACAACTGATATGAAATTGCTTCTGTATGGCTTCAGACAGGTGTCAGTGAAGTAAGATGATTTTCACCTTAATCTGGAGTAGGGGTGGGGGAAGAAGATACTCACACAATGTGAGCCAAGTTGAGTGGCTTCTCAGGCTGATCCGGAAACATGGGGTGCAAAGGTTCACGGCTGGAAGCGCAGCTCAGGGACTTGCTTAATGCATTGGTTAGCTTCTTTGCAGGTGATTTCTGGAAAGAAGAAGAAAGAGAGAAGTGATAACAACTAACCATGATTGTAACATTTTATCAGGTGATTTGCTTTTCATAATAGCCCTTCATTTGTTAGTCATTCATTCATTCATTCATTCGTGAGCAAGAAATCCTTTTTGAGTGCTCAAAGTCAGGAAGCTCGGACTAGCTTGCTGCAACCACTAGCTTGCTGCAACCAGCCACCAGGTACCTAACTCCTGCTGCTTAGGGCAAGGAAATGTTGTGATAAATGGAAGCAGTTACTGAGTATGGGCCACCTCAATTAGATGGAATTGATGAGTCAGCGGGAGTCTTTCCGACAAAAACTCAGGGGACTGGGAAGATAATTCCAGATGGAGGAATAAGCAACTAGAAAGGCAAGAGGAGGAGGAACAGAGTCCATGGTGGAGAGGAAAGCAGGAGGCAGAACGTGTCTTTGTCTCTTGGGCAAAGGGAGGTGATGAAGACTTTATAGGGGTTACAGGATGATACCTCACTTTCGAAGGATTGTTTCCACTGAAGAACAGAAGGATTGGAATGAAGGAGCTGAGCGAGGTGTTGCGGGAATCCAGGTGCCAGATGTTCCTAGCGTGGCCCAACACATCCAGTTAGAAGTAAAAGTGGAACTTCAATCTGTGTCTCTCAAGTTTAAAATTCATGTTCTTCCCAGAGCACTGTGTGGCCTTTTTTCATTTGAAGGGATGGAATCTTTTTCTTTATGTGACACCATCAAAATTATAAACATGTAATGTAGTTTTGTAAGATAGAATATTGTATCCATATAATAAATCCCTAACCAAATTTTCCCTTTTTGTGAGGAGTCATTTATAATTTTGGCACTTCCTTTTACATGTGGAGTTCATAATTATTAATATAATAAAGTGTCTTGTTTTGCCCTTATTGTTTAAAGCATTGTTGAGAAGTCCTGCTCTATTGGGAGATGTGATTCGTGGGGCTCTTAAGTTACTAGTAGAAACAGAGCTTCACCCGTAAGTCCTGGGCACTTTGTTCTCTTGTACATTTGGATCCAACTTTGTACATGGCATCCTGTTATACAATTTTAGAGTCCACCGTACTTAGGAAAGAGGCTCCCTATGTAGCTTCAGCATTTACATAAAAACAACTAAAAAATGATTAGTCTTCAAACATAACCCTGTAGCATCTGGAATAGAAGTTTGGAAACTGGTAATATGTTGATCATAACAAAATAGAAAGTTTTTGCTTCTATCTTCTGTGCTGAATTGTAGTTTATGATCCATGTTCACATATCTATCCTCAGTATGTGATCTGAGCCATATCGAGGGATGGCCTATGACCTGGCAGGAAGCTCTCACGTACTTTGCCTTAGTGAAGAACTTGAAGTCAGAATATGACAGATGATGAACTAAGAAGTTACACTGAATATCAGTTCCCTATAGTAATTTCTAGAAGGAACATTCTCATTTAAGATGCATGTTCAGAAGATTTTTTTAAAAAAAGAATAGTAAGTTACCCTTTAAGTAAAGACTATATAGATGGAATTGAAATACACTTACATATAGAAAATTCATACAGCTATGCATTTTCTTGTGACAGAGCTACTTTAAGATAGGCTGGCAGGGCTGGTGGTATATGTTACAAGAGCAACACTGCTAGAACTTTGAGCTGAACGGAGATAGAGGTAATAAAAATGCAAACCATTAGCAGACATACTGAGTGAGCCAAATTCCTCCCATAGACCCAGCTGTGCTCCTGAGAATACATCATCACATGGACACTCACATGTGACCTTTCCCAAGCTGGTCACTAACACTATTCATAAAAAGTTGACTTGCTAATATAACCACAGTTTCTCCTCTACACTCTCTGGGAAAAGGAAAAAAACAAAATGAAATAACATTAAGCCCAAACACTCATAGTTTTTTCACTTAGTATTCTGTTCATGCACTCAAAAGAACTCAGGGATCTAAGAAAAGTGAAACTAACACTATTTTCCAGTATTTTCCGCAAAAACAAAACAAAATAAAATTTGGAAAAACTCTTAACTTACTGTGAAAATAAGACTGTTTTCCAGAAGATGCCTGCTCTTCAGTTGTTATTTAAATCAGTACCGAATTGTCTATATTCCAAGAAGCAACATGATTTGAATCTCCCTCTATTTAAGTCTTAGGATGCTACACTGGGTTCAGACAGAATGAGTAAGAAATCCCAGTAAGCAAGAGAGAGGGGGAGCAGGCGGGAATGTTAGAACGGGAGTAGAAGTTCAGCCTGCCCCTTAACACTGTCAGCATCCTTGATGCTCCCTTTCATTCCACACAACACTTGCACACACCCCACGGTGTGGGGACCTTGCCTTACCCATGACGTGTACTCTTTCATTTGGTGCTGGTTGCTATGGGAACCACCAGCATGCCCCCTCCAGAAGCAGTCCTGACAGAGTTGGTAATTGTGACACTGTTGGCATCGGTAGCGAAATCCCATCATACTCTCACTGTGGCAGTAGGAACATTCAACCGGATGGAAGACTGGGAGGTGGGGTGGGGGTGGGGGTAAATGAAGAAAAACACAAGAAAACAACAGTATGAACGAGAATAAGGAGCACAGTCTAAATGGAATTGCATTTGCTGTGTGTTGTGATTCCAGAGGATAGTCTGTTTGGCTTAGGAAAACATTTAGTTTATTCTAGGAATCTTACTACCCTTTCCATGCATGCATGTGTGTGTGTATGGGGGGGGGATTAAAATGGGATAGAGAATAGGTGTCCTTTTAGCAACACAAATCTCTGTAACGCCATTTGCTCTTTCTGCTTCCATCTCTTACACTATAAGAATATAAATTACTCAAACTGGCTAGCTTTTCCCTCAAACTACTCTCTGTCTCCTGGAGACGGGCACAGCTCACTAAAGATTCAGAAGCAGAATGGATGGATATAGTTGACTGTCCAGGGGGTAGAGAGCAAATATCAAAGAAATGGAAGAAAAAGAAAGGGAAATGGGGAAGGAGTAGGAAAAGGGGATGAGAGATTTGAGTTACTACGTAAAAAGTGGAGTGGCTAGTGGGCTTATTTAAGAGTGACACTGGCTTCATCTAACATATTTCTTCTTCTCTGAGGCAGGTGGAGAGGACCCCCCCCCCCAAGATGTGTAAATTATCTGAATGTAGTTCTACTTCAGAGAGTTCAAGAGACACTTATCTTTCTTTGGCAAGAAATTAGAATTGTTAAGTAGGAAGGTAAAATATTTTAGATTTGAAACTAACAAAAGATCAGATCCATTTAATTGCCCATACACTCTGAGCTAAAGATGCTAAAACAACAGCACAACTGTTCTTGTGTTTGGTAAAGTATTCTCTGGCTAACCTTCCAGGAAAAACAATGCACATAAGAACAAATGAAGATAAAAGCAGTGTGAATACAAAGATCTAACCACTTCTGGGTGCACTGTCTTCTAAACAAGGTCGTAAGTCCCTTTCCTGACTCTGGGAAAGAAAGACAAGGAGGGGGGACTTCCATCTCAGACAATTGTACTAGGACAAATGCCTAAAAAACTGATCTCCTGCAACAGGAAATAGTGAGAGGGCAGAAATGAAATCATAGCTTTAGGAGTGGAAAATGACTAGTCCTGCAACTGCAAACAGTGATTAAGCTCATCTTGCATCATAATGTGAGCCTCAATTCCTCTTTACTTCTGCATATAAATAAAAGCATGTTAAAAATCTGATTGTTAGTAATCGCAAAGAGACTAGTAAATTCATCCTTCCAATTTTTTTTTATTTTGCCCATGGGTGACAGGATAAATTCATAATTTTTAACTAAGAGAGCTAATGAAATCAGATGCCCCAAATTCTGATTGAGAATTTAAAAATGAAACCATCTTTAGCCCTAATATCTACTAAAGGAATAAATAGAGACTGAGATTCTGGTAAGAGACATAGGATAAATTATGTTTTATTCAAGTCTGGAGAAATTTCAAAGTTCAATTAAACTATAAATAAGAACACCTAAAGATTAGAGGGAAGTACTAAACTCTTCAGTGTTTAAACTTCTTTAACTCTGGTCCTATATTATATTTTATATTTTAATTTGTATATACTAAAAGGAAATACTTTTATTCTGGAAATACTTCCTTTTTGTTCTTAAAAATACTATGGAACTTTCATTACTCTCATCGTTAATGTAAGTATAATTTTTGAAAGATTACAATTTGGAGCATATGATTAAAGATTAGCAAGGTGCTACCACTTAATTTTTTTTTTTTTTGCCATCTCTACCATCTATTCCTGGCTGACTGTCTTGGGAGAAATAGTGCCACTTATGCAAAATTGGAAATTCACATCTCAAAAACATACTAGAAAATGTCACATTCCTTATTGAGGCTCTTCTATTGAACACAACAGAGAGGTGCATGATGAGATTTAATGAGTTTTTAGAACTGACAGTTCTCAAGGCTTTATTGATCAAGGAGATGAATTAGTTTCTTGGGCTTAATAACTGCACACTTGATGATCTAATTTCAATAATTTTAAAAACTGCCTTTGCTCAGCAGTAACTGCTCACCATTTTCTACATTTGCCAGTCGATGCAGGAGAGGCAACCAGACCAGACACTGAGGGGGAGGATCTGACATGAGCGTGTCCAAGAAACCATTTAACGTGACTTTTTTCTGCATTAAAAAAAAAATCACAAAAATTTAGGACAGAGAATAATTTTAACTTACCTGCTATGTAAATATCATTGGAAATAAAGACATAATCCATCAATGAGGCTCTGATTTATGAAGAAATAGCACTTGCCAAATGTGTTATTGAACTAGTTCAGAAATGAAGACATCGATTGCTTCATGCACCTGAACATACACGAAACTGGATTAACTCCACCACTGGATGATGCTGGTGATAAAAGACTTTTATCACCAACATCATCGAGAGAAAAACCTCAATTTCATATATGACAAGGAAAGACAAAGAATTGAAATTCTCCACAGAATTATATTCAATAGAGCATCATAGCACACTCTGATTCCCACATCAGTCTTCTAAATTTGCAAACGGCTTCCCTCCCAGCTCCCTCAACTTGCTTAAGTACTCAATATTTAGTGGTTATGGTGAATGGCTCTGTTATGTAAGATCAGGAGGGGATTCTGTGAGGAGTAATGTTCTAAATTTTAAAAACTTCTCATTTCTTCTCTGTCTATAGCTTTCCTTCTAATTCAGTCTCCTCTGTCTCCTCGTCCAGGTCTTTTCTGCTGCAGAAAAGGAATGTATCATATCTATACACTTCTTTCAAACTTTGATATTTTAAAGTAATAAGTCAGTCCCCAAAGAGATATAATGTCGTTTTAAGGCATGCAGCTTATACTAGTCCTTGTAGTTCACTAAACAAATGTTTTGGAACCCATTAATTTTTTTTATTATCAGTGGAAATTTATAATTTAGTTTTTCCTCATAATATTAAATAGTGTAAGCTTTCAATAGGGTTGCTATCAGTATTACTATTAAAATATATATTGTGTAAAGTATTTTTTAAAAGCTACTAGAATTTATATGTCTAAAAGGAATATTCTCTTTCAAGACTATCAGTGGGTGTGGACTTAAAAATTTTTTTCCACAATATCTTTATTCTATTTATTTATTTTTATGTGGTGCTGAGGATTGAACCCAGGGCCTCACACGTGCTAGGCAAGTGCTCTACCACTGAGCCCCAGCCCCAGCCCAGCATGGACTTTTTAAATGAAGCATTTCCAACATTTTGGGACTTTCATCCTTTAAACCTTTATAAAAATATTAAGACAAAAATAAGCTGATCTTTTTATTTTTAATTTGGGTTACCTCATTTTGTACTTCAAAGGATCTTATTAATTTTAATCATTCACCAAATTGGCTAAAAATTACTCCTAGAAGTTTCCGAAACTGTTATTATTTTGACATGTATCAATTTTCATCACTAAGAATACATAAATGATCTCAAAATGGGACAACCTATAGGATATTTAAAAAGTAATTTTTAGCATAGGGATATCATATAATTCTCTTTGAGTGTACAGTTCCTTTTAATAATAATAATAATAATAATAATAATAATAATAATAATAAAAAAAAAATCCAGGCCCAGAAAGACAAACATTGAATGTTTTCACTCATGTGGAAGCTAAAAAGTTGATCTTAGAGAAGAAAAGAGTGTGATAGTGACTACTGGAGTCTGGGAAGGGTAGGAAGAAGGGAGGCTAGAGGGAGGCTGGATTATGGGTACCAAAATATAGTTGGAGGGGAGGAAAAGAACTCCAATGGGAAATTATTGAAAGAAGGACATTCAGTCTTTGGGGGCAGAGGGAAGCAGAAATGAATTCATAGGAGCACATAAGTCTGCCTGGGTATGGGGCACAGGAGTATGGGGAGGGCCAAAAAGGACTTCCAAGTGGGGTGACACAGGAGCAGAGTTAGCATTTAGTGCAGTGAACCATGTCTTCTTTGCTACCATTATGGATGCATTTATGAGTCCACCTAAATTCATGATTCTTAGGAATGCCTTTGCAGCTTTGACCTCTCAGGTCACCAGGTACACAGAATGATGATACTTGCTAGCTGGACAGTCAATGAATTTTTCCAGAGGCTGCTATGCAATGATTTTATGTATATTTTGGAGCATGGAAACATCACATATAATTCTTTTTAGCATGTAATAAATTTGGAGGGAATAACTAATTAGTCTGGATTTTTAAAAGATTATAAGCAAACCTTCAATTTATGGATTTATACACCATCACTGTGCTGCGTGTAGTCTTTCCCTATGATCAGAGAGGTGTAAGTATGGAAGGATCTCAAACCTAAGCAGCTTCCTTTGTGCCATGTTCGGTTAAAGCACATCATTTGGAACCCTAAGTGTGTCATATTATGGAAGACTTAGGCAGCTGTCTGTCACACTTTGGGCTGCTGTGGTCACATTGCAAGATGTGAAGCAACACCTTTCTACTCTCCTTTGCTGAACATTAGGAAAGTCTGGTGCTGGGTCAGATGTGTCTCATGTGGGGCTGAATGACAGTTTAGCCATTTCAAAAGTATAGTGGTAATAATGATGATACTGAGAGTCTAGGATTGTTGTAAGGATTAAATTAGATAAGGAAGTAAAGAACTTAGCATGGCACCTATCTCACAATCAGTGAACACCAGCTTTTGTTATAGTCCAGGTGTGGTCGGTTTGTTACTGGCTCAGAGGTCATTTGTCAGATGCTGGAAGAAACATCCTCGGCTATTGTCATGAAGAAAGATAGTCCTTGCACCTGTGACTGGGAACCACACACAGAAGGAGAATAACAGCTATTTGAGAAACATTTCCTTAAAAATGTTACCTGTTGGGAGAAACAGGATCTAGCTGATTGTTCTGTGTAACCAAATGAAGGGCCTTCAAAAACTGCTGTGGGTAGTTTGAGAACTTCCCGGAGGAATTGGTCGTACCGTCCATAAACCATCACTCCACTGGAGTCAGAAATCATTGAGAAAATATCTGATGGAAGGGAAAGGATGGAGATAGTTATTCATCACATGAATATTCTCTACTGATCTGGTCAACATATCTGATGCAAATAACTAAACTGTGGCAGAATATACATTATCTTTATGAAAGAATAGTACAAAGCTGATTTTTATGCAGAAATATTCCTGGCATGGTGTTTTCTCTGGTGTCTTTTCATAGATGATTCTGAGACATAACATTAACTGGTTATTTGTGTAAAATTAATGTATTTTAATAAGACAGAGACCATCACATTTTGTTTTGAAGTCAGTCACTGATTCATGTATGACCTGATGGGGTAATTTTTGTATGTATAAGAATGGGCTGACTTCATTTGAAGTGCACAATGAGAATTTTACTACACAGAGTGTAGGTGTGTATCTATGTATTTATCTCGTTAGCAATTTCTTCATCTATGTTATCACCAAAACTTTTGGGTTTTGGTCTAAGATATCTGAAAAATGAAAGATGCAATAGGGATAAAGATATAATAAAGACACTTGATTAATTTCCCACAAAAGCAGAAAACGTCCTATAAATCATAGGGTTCTGGGTGGAAGGCGTTTTGATTTACACAGAAGGGTCTTTTGGCTCATGTAGTGAGCAGAAAGCCTTGCAGATGATCAATGAGGTGAAAGTCAGGGTCTTGGATTATTCTCCAAAGCGCCTCTGGCTTCACTGAAATTCTGATCTTCAGCTTCTACCACGGGGTCCACTTAATGAATATTAATGGCATAATTTCCCACGGTGCTTTAGAATTCCTCTTTAGAAAACAATAGGGCACAAGGATTTGCTATTAGTTCATCATCATGTTAACATAATTGTCACTAGTCTAGCACAGCTGCTGGGATAAATTGCCCTAAGTCCAGTGTGTTAACTTCTGTTCAGTTTGGGTTTAATTTTTCCAGGTCCAAATGTAATCTGAGGACATTGCTTTTATACTGCAATCAGGTATTAAGCATATTATGGAGTTTTACTGAATTATGTTTTAAGCATGTGAATTGACTCTCATTTTCTTTAAACATTCCAGCTATAAATTATTTCTACTATATTTCAAATAGTCTATTAATTATGAGACTATAGAAATTCTATCTGGTGTTAATATCCAAAATGAGAAAGTCAACAACACAATAGTGAGAAAACAAATAGCCTGATTAGAAAATAGGCAAAACAAAAACAAAAACAAGTAGATATTTCCCCAAAGAAGACATATCAGGTACAACAGTTATATAAAAAGTGTTCAATAACACTAATTATCATGGAAATGCAAAACAAAATCACAATTACACCTCACTCTAGTTAGAATGGCTATTACCAAAAATCCAAAAAAGCCAGGCATGCCTGTAATCTCAGTAATTTGGGAGGCTGAGACAGGAGGATTACAATTTAGTGAGGCCCTAAGCAACTTAGCAAGGCCCTGTCACAACATTAAAAAAAAAAAAATTAAAAGGGCTGAAGATGTGGCTCAGTGGTTAAGTGCTCCTGGGTTCAATCCCCAGTACCAAAATAACAAACAAACAAATAACAACAACAACAAAAACCCATGCATTGAAGATAATTTGGAGAAAAGGGAACCATTATACACTGTGGGTTGGAATAGAAATTAGTATGGCTATTATGGAAAGCAGTATAGAGGCAATGTGAAAAGTTAAAAGAAGAACTACCATGTGATCCAGTAATCCCACTACTGCATATATATCTGAAGGGAATGAAGTCATACTGATGTGATATCTGCACTCCTGGGTTTATTGCAGCTCTATTAAAAATAGTTAAGATATGGAACCAACTCAAATACCCATCAAAAGATGAATGGTTACAGAAAATGTGATATATATTCAGAGGAATACTATTCAGCCACAAAATAAAGGAAATTCTGACATTTTGCAAGAACATGAAGGAATTTGGAAGACATTATGTTGGGTGAAATAAGCCAGGCATGGTCTTATTCATTGTGTGTGGAGTCTAAACAAGTTGACCTCATGAAAGTAGAGAGTAGAACTATGGTTACCAGAGGTTTGGAGAGTTAGAGGGGATGGGAAGATAGGGAGATGCTGGTCAAAGGAAACATGGTTACAATTAGATAAGAGAAATAAACTCAAGAGATTATTGGGCAGCATGGTGACTACAGTTAAAGACAATATATGGTAGTTTTGAAAAATGCAGAGAATAGACATTAAGTTTTCTCACCACAAAAATAACTATGTGAAATTATGCATATGTTAACTGGTTATATGTAACCACTTGATAATGTATTTAAACATCAAAACACGATGTACATTATCAAAATATACAGTTTTATTTTTCAATTTTTTAAAAAAGAAATTCTATCTGAACAAAAAACAATGCTGTTCTCATTTACCACATAACTTTGCTTACATAGTGAATTTCATCTCACAGTCCATTAAATTAGTCAAAAAACAAACAAGAAAGGGAGTTGCTGGTTGCAAAAACTGTTGTGTAATTCCAAATATAGAAGTTGGAGAATTCTGGTCAAAAGGGAGGAAATAATCCCAGGAAAAGTAAATTGGCTTTCTCATGAGAGCTGCCATCTTGTTTGGAGGCAGGGTGGTTGGTTATAACAGGGTCATACTGATGTTCTTCCAGGCTCTGATTTTCCAGGGAACACTAGGCTTTTCAAGTCACCTGCTGAAAAAATTTGGGAAACATCTCTAACTAAAGCAAAAGCAGGAGTAACAATGATGACCTTCCACATACTTGAAAACTAATTAACCTTGTTTGTGTCTGCAAGCAATAGATAAACTAGTGTTATGCCAATGGGATTAATTGGAAGTGGCTGTTAATGGCCACTCAGGTTTTAATAAAGAATTGAGGGGACTCTAAGAATGATACCAAAATGATATGCATTTATACTTTAGTTTTTGGCTTAGGTAAAATGTCCACAATGTATATGTGTATGTAGATGACAGGATTATTTCAAGGAGTAAATTAGTAAATGTAAATAAAGCACTCAAAATGATGCTTTCCACATATATTTTATCCATTTTTATTATTAATTTCATATGGCATCATTTTTCCATTGACTTCATATGTTTAGGCTTTGCCTCCCCACTAGGATATTCAATAAGGTTCCAAATCACAATCTAAACTACCTTTGTATTTCCTGTAGCACTTAACAAGGATAGATACTTAAAAGAATTTGCAGTCACTGACTGACTCATTCAACTATAATCAACTTAGCACATACTAAGCATGTGAAACTGTGCTAAGCAGTGAATATACAATAAGGTCAGAATAGAGTTCTTTCCCCCTGGGAGAGTTCTTTCCCCGTGTATAGAGGGTGACCGAGAAGTGCTTTCAGGATGCATCTTAGAACATCCTAGATTATAACCTCATGTTGTGAATACTGGAAAAGTAGCATGAATGGATAGAACAGGAGCCGGACGAGAAGGTTCCCAGAGAAAGGAGTAGGTCTGGGACTAGCATAAAGGCTAGTTAGTGGCTAGTCCGGCACAGATGAGGGAGTAGGCTTTAGGAAACAGGATCAGGACTGCAGTGTAGGCACAAAGAGGACAGCAAGCATGGATCTTCAAGGAGGCCCTGTGGCAGGGCTGGGGGTGCACACAAGGGTGCGGTGGGATGTATGGCATTACATGAAGAGCTTTGAAAGCTCTATTATGTCCAGAGGATGCTGAGGGAGACACTGTAGTTCAAGCAGCCAATGAGTTAGAAACACTGCCTTGAATGTATTTGTGGAGGCAGATCAATCAGTTCAGTGACACTCAGTAAATACAAAGTGTTTGCCGTGATGCTAGTCTTTCAACTAAAGAAAGCAAGTACTCCTCAGTAGCAATAGATGAGCACATGACATCCCAGGCTTACAGCAGTGGATTTAGAACTCCTTAAGATCCTTAGGACTGACTGTCCAGGAACTCTGAAGCAGAAGAACCCATTAAAACAGTAGATTACAATCAGTTGTGGAACAATTTAACAGAAAAGGAATATATTAGGTCAGTTGATGTTTAGGGTGCCATGTCACACAGCTGCAGGGGGCGCCCTTTTTTTCCTCTATTGGGTCAATGATATCCCCTGGATTACACATTGAATACCCTGAATCTCAGCTGATGGCTCTGCATATTAGAAATCATGACATAACATAGAGTTGTTGTCCTTTTTAATGCATTTAAGGACATTTTTAAAAATCAGCCTTAATTTTTCTGGTTCGTTCTCTCTCTCTCTCTCTCTCTCTCTCTCTCTCTCTCTCTCTCTCTCTCTCTTAATTCCTAATTTATTTTCAGCCAATTATTCTGGTTCTATGCTCTCCAACAAAAGGGGCTAGTTGGAACAAACTAAATATCCTTCATCCCTACGCACAGAAATAGAAAAATCGCCAAACAAGCACAGCTGGCCCGTTGGCTTAAAGTGAATTAGAAAAATTTACAAAAAAGGAAAACAAAACCTTCAAAGCCTGAAACATTCCATATCCTTTCATTTTACTTTTTTTCTTATTACAAAAGTCATGCAGAAAATCATGACCTTGTGTGCTTTGTTGTTGAAATGAAAGCCAGCCAGAGACTACAGAAAATACCCATCATCCCACTTACCAAGAAGCAGCCATGGCTGTTTGTGGGTGGATTTGCCCACATTTGCTCTTTCAATCAATTATCATCATTTAACCTGGAAATATGGGTGACTGAAGATTTTCTTTTTTGACTAATGTTTTGGAGAGATTCTTCCAACCAAACTGCTTCTACTTAAATTGTTTTTGGTCAAATTGCTTTCAAACAAGTTACCTGGAACCCACCCAAACTGTCTTCCTGGGATTACCTATTTGAAGAGGGGATACATGAGACTGATTTTGGCCTACTGATCTCAAAGAGGGGAGCATGATAAATGGTGGTCATACTATCTGTTTTTCTACATAGTTTGTGACATGGTGGGACTTGTTTCCAAACTGCAGAGCTTAGTCTGTCTCCAGTGGGACTCACGCCTCTGCTTCCTTTGCTGTCCTCAGGAGGACTAACTTGAGCCCCTAGGTAGCATACCTGCTTTTCTTTCTGGAGAGTGATGGGATGGGATGTGGAGAAAGCACTAGAGCAGTTACACTAACGTCTGGGTTTGCAAGAGAACCACAGGGCTTCTGGGAATTATTACAGATCTGCTCAAAACCAGCTTGTGCTTCACAACTGTGCTGACACTGTAAGCTGCTTGCCTAACAACCATTCCCTTCATCTTTATTGGCACCAAATTTGTTCCTGGGCTAAGAGAAAGGAGTAGCATTTCCTGGCCCAGGAAGTGAAAGTGGATTGATTATGACTGTCCTGGTCAGGCCGTTCCTCTTATAGCAACTGGTTTAGGAATTGGTCTGAGATGCTGCCGTGGGCAATGAGACATAAAGACTGGGTAGAGTGTGGTGAGACTCTAGGCTCCCCTTTCCTGCAGGAGAGGGGTGAAATCTAAGGAAGAGGGATTCTGAGTGGGAAGATTGGAAGCACCTAGGGCACAAGATTAACCTGGGCTTGGAGAGGTTCTAAAGTTCAGGAAACTGGTTTATCAACTTTCCTCACACTTATTTTAATAGGGGACCCTTTTATTCAGGTACCTATTACCATGACATTGAATAATTATTTGAAAATATTTCTCAAGATTCCTCAGTATAAATGGCCAATTGTGACACAAAGTGAATAGGCAAGGCCCCCAGGGCTTTCTTCCTCTGCTTTGGTTCATTTTGCTAAACTTCCTCTTCCCAGCCTGAGGAAATACCTCCTGGATTACCCTGAAGCCACTTTTTTAAAAAGGCATTGGTTGCAGCACATTCTAATTGAGCTATTCTCTCTCAATCAAGCATGGAGGTAGGTAGTTTTCGTTTTTCTATGTCTTTTAGAATAACCAAAGAAAAACTAAACTGACCCTCATAAGGTCTGGTTGGGCTTCTCTGGATCGTGGCTGCATTTGGTTGCTCAATGAAAGGAAGTTTCTGGAAGTGAAGGAAGCCAGGTGGTTACTTGGGGCTTGGAGGCCCCTTTCACTTATCTCCTGGGCCACTGAGACAACCTCCTTAGAGAGTTTATGTTGACATTCCAAAGAAGGAAAGGGTGTTTTTTTGTATCTTGCTTCACTCTTTCCCTCTTGGTCATGGAGAGGCAAGAGATACACTCAGAAGCTGACAAGTAGCAGGAGAGAAAGAGCCTCATGGCGGTGAATCACAGATGGTTGCAGCTGGGAGCCACCATCCAGTCTTTGATCCCAATATTTAGAATGTGGCAGGAAGCTGAGGACTAAAGACATGAAGTAACTTCCATGGGGAAACTCAGCAAATAAGTCACAGCTGGGCTTGCAACCTGGATCTCCCAACTCCATGGCACTACCCTTTCTTACAGCATTGTGACCCCGATTCTACAGTATTTAGGGTAAGGGATAGTGTGAAACAAAACTTTCCTTTAACAGCAGCATCAATATAATTTTAAACTAGTGAAAAATAAAAATTCTTGCTCCTCAGCCCCACCTTAGGAATACCAAATCAGAATTTCTGGAGGTGGAACTCAAAGAAGTCCATGGTCTAAAAAGCCCTCCAGGTGATTCCAATGCATACTGAACATTTGAGAACCATTGGTTGGAAACATCAGGATTAAAATACTGGTACCATCTTAGCTATATGATATGCTCTCTTTGGGTCTCAGCTTCTTTACTTAAAACAGAGAAATAAGAAAAATTCCACTATGATACTGGTTAAAAAACTGTGCCAGTTAGTGACAACATGTACATGAAGCCTATATTCACTTGATGTCCTTTAGTTGTGCAGTTCCTTGTAATCTGATTAGCACTGGCTTAAAAAAAAATGAGGAAATTTACCAGGAGCTTTGATTTTTAGAATATTTAAGGGGGAAAGATGCTCAATTTGACCTTCATGTCCTTACACTGATGAACTACTACTATAGTGGTATAATAGAACAAACTAGAAAGAATACTTATTTTTCTTTAATATCAGAAAGAATCTATTTGATGATACTCAGCGAATTCTAAATAATAATAATCTGTAAGTAAAGGAAAATGTTCATTTCATCAACATTTATCCAATATGAAAATACTTCTTTGACAAAATCCCAGGCTCAAAGAAGATTGCGTTTCAAACAACTCTCATAAAAGACACAAATGGTCAGGGGGACATGGCAGGAATAAAGGAGAGGAAAAGTGGTACATAAGAGAGAAAAGCAGGGAGAGGCGCAAGGAATAGTAACTTACATCTTAATTTGTCCATGATCTTCCCTCCACACAATGTCGCTAAAGCCATTTTGACAGCAAATACTGAAATTTTACCATGGCCTTCCCTGTTTAGTGATAATAGAAAAAAAAAATCATGTCATTTGGAGTACTTCCAGTGATGAGATCTGACATTTTCTAGTCTGTATAAATCATAGAATATGTGGCTGCGTGCATTTTATGAACACATCCGTTTTAGAAAAGGTTGTGAATACAATTCAAAGCACATTTCTGAAAAACTGTCTATTCAATGCTTCCTTTCTTCAAGAGACATCAGAATCTTCTATTTTATTCTTTGTATATGTCACTTGCTCAAAACATGGGCTGCTAGCCAGAGAAATATACACTAGCTAATGATGGATTTAAATAACACTACATGCTTTTCACGTTAGGCTTCTCAAGATACTTTTGTGTATGATGATTGCTATCTCTATCACTTATTTAAACAAGCTTTGGAAATACATACATATTTCTAAATATATACACCCACACTCACAATTCCTGAACTTGAGATTTTTTTCCATCACATAATTTTTCAACTATCATTTCATACCAAAAGGTCAACTGTGCTTATGTTACATATTTGCTGTTCAAAGGGAGTTGCTATTTTAAAGGGGCAGGAGTAAACACTTTGTTTGAATGTTGCTACTTCTATCTATATTGACACAAATACTGCCAAGTCTTCATTGATACAAGAAGTACAACCAACTTGTCCTTCATAAAATGTGATATAGAGGACATACTGTAAGAAGTATAATGTTTTACATAAAGTATTTTTCCAGCTGGAATGAACTATTTATTTTTATGTCCTTGGAATCAGAAATAATATCATATTAATAATTAATTGCTTTGATAGTTGCTACTCTTAAGAATTATCAAGAGTTATTAAAAATAATGTGGCTGAAAGGTAAATAAAGTCTACATTAACAAGGATTTAGTACATAGAACGAATCCTTTATAAAAGCAAGATCATTACAAGTTATATAGTTAAAGAATAAGAGGTACTAAATGATTGTGTCTTTTTTCCTAGACTTAAGAAGGGTCATTTGCTATCCATCTTTGTTGCTGTCTTTCTTAACACAGTACCTGAAATACAGCTAGCCAGAATGCAGATACTAATAGAATGCCATGCTAGTAACTCTGCAAAGCTACTTTTAAGCCCGAGTACCAGATTTATGTAGTTATTTATTGGAAATTTCTACTAGTATACCACCTGCCAAATCAGGTATGTTCTAATTAGAACTCGGTATCTTTACAGAGCCCTCTCACAATAAACCTTCCGTAAAAACTAACTGCTTTTTCTCTAACACCCTTCTTCTAGTTGTTAGAACCACTATGAACCTTGATACCCCAAAATTGATCCTGGAGCAGGAGTCACATTTGATTTCTTGCTCTTCCTGAATTCACCAACATCCTGAACAAATGTTTGAGGCACTCAAATACACCTCTTAAATATATATATTGGGTCCATTCCCTTCTGCCCATTTTCATGGTCATTGCTTCCATTAGTTCTTCCTTTAACACTGTAATAAACTCCAGAACAATCTTTCTACTTGTACACCCATATTACAAATTTAACCATGTTATTTAAAATTGTTTAAAATTCTTGTTGCGTCCTTTTCTTTACACGATGAAGTTGTAACTTTTTCTCATGGCAAACCTCATTGTTTCCTCCAGTCTCCGAAGCCAGCCATGATTTCTGTTGTTACAGGGCATACCACAGACACTGTTCAATGACTCCTGGCCCCTGGCCCTCTAACTGTGGTCTACCGAGGATCCTTCCACCCACTCTTCAGGATGTTGATCAGCACCATCATTCACCCAGCTTTTCTCTTGGATGGGGAGAGGATCACTCCACCTTTAGTCTTACCTATCATGTCATGCCTATCATATCAAGATTCTTGGAGGAAGAGATGATTCTTATGAACTAGTTAAATTCCCAGTGCCCACATTTTTATTTCATACAGAATTAGCAATTAATTAAAATTTTTATATTAATGAATGGATATTAATCATTATGATAGACAACAACCCTAGAATTTTGAATGTCCATTCATTAAGTTGTTCAGTAATTTCAGACCACGTAGCTGTAATAAAAATGTGACAATTCTGTAAAAGCCATCTTATTCAAAATTATTTTATGTCCCCTGGTTCTCAATTGCAAGGACAAACATTTTACTTCAGGAAATAGCTTCTAAGTGAGACCATGGTTCAAACAAAAATGGGAAAATCCACCAAGTACAGAAGATTAGGAATAATACAGCAAAAAAGGAGTCTTCAAAATGCTAAGAATTTCAGGAGCATTACATGTGAGATTTCAAGAGCAATACAATTTCCTTTTAATGATTCAGAGAGAACAGTTTAGCTCAAGGGAGAGGATTGAGTACCGAAGACACTGGAACAGAGAGTTCTCCAAATAACTCACGAGTGAATTCTTAAACCTTAGTTTTTAATGAGGAAAATCAGAGGGAGATCACCAGTCCTGTCTTTTTCCTAGAAATGGAAGACCAATCATATTAAATCCAACAATGGTTGTAACAGAACTATTCTGCCAAATTGACACAATAAATCCAGATAAATCACTGAGTGGAGGGCAGCTGAATGAGTTTTGCAGGAACTCAAGGATGAAATTAGGCCACTGGAATCTATTGTTATGCAAGCTACTGTGCCAGACTGCAAATGTGACCCCTGTCAGGAAGAAGGACTACAGGGTGGGGGATAGAGTTGCAGGGATTTAGATCCTGGTAAGCATCAACACTGGTTGAGTTCAGATCTTGCTCACCCCAGGGGCACCAGAGACCTAAATGCAAATGGGATTTTTTTTTTTCTGGTTTGTTTCTTAAAGCACATTTTCAGTGGATATAATAGAATGGAGAAATGAAGAGGAAAAATTTTTCTAAAGGCCTTGAATAAGTTCTATACCAAAGGCCATTGCTTGGGACCAGGCTACATCAGGACCAGAGTCCCTAATTTTGTTGTGAAAAAGGAATTGGTATTGATGCAGGACGCATCAAGGAATAGAGAGAAGTTGGTATACCACACATGGAGACCGTGAGAGTTATGTTCACCAGAGATTGTCATTAGTTGGACCCTGGTTTGATTTATGAACAGTCAGTGAAATCTTTTAGGGGTCTGAGAATGGAAAGACAGACTCATGAAGATGGATAACAGGAAGTTCCCAAGAGTCTTATGCAAAGCAGCAAAATAGTAGCATATTGTTCCAAAAGGAGTCTGAATGCCCCGGACTAAAATAGTCCACTGCCCCTTATGGGATGCTGGCAATCTGCCATAACTCAGGAAGCAGTCCTGAGGAGGCCTGCTGAGGAGATGACACTTAGATTGTCACTAGTGCCCAGGTCAAACAACCTGGGAGCAGGCAACACCAGGAACAACACAACAAAAGGCTATACTCTTATGAAAAACTGTGAGAGCACACCTTCAATTTTACAAGGGGTTCTGATTGTCACCTCATAGTTTGAGAGTGCCACAGGCACCATAGTGTATGCGTTAGGAGTTGCAGACTTAGGAGTCAGTAATCAAAGACTTGTCCACACAGGCTTTTCTTCGTGAATTAAAGCTGCTAGGGCAATTGATTTCTGTAGCAGTGTAGAAGGCACGGTAAGAGCTTAAAAAATAAATTAGGATTAGCAGATCATTTTTATTAAAATAATTTTATCTGAAAAATAAAACAAAATTTTACTGATTCTAAGGTTTTTCCCTTTCAATGCAGATGGAGGGCACAATGCATGCTTTATTCCTTTTTTCCATTACTGTCTTTTGACATAAGGGAATTCATTCTGGTTTTAAACCAATGATCCCAGAACTTTTTCTTGGGCAAACTTTCCTATTCTAGCTTGATATCCAAAAATATCCAATTAAATTATTCCATTGGTATTTAATGACTACCCAACAAGTTATTTCAAAGAATTAGGTTAATCTAAGCAAATTATCAAAGGTACAAACTGAAATTCCTTCATAAAAATGATGATTCTTTAACTCTTGTATTTCTCTTCACAGTTTGTTGTTGTAGTCTAGATAATTGCCAGTTCTCCCAGGGCACAACTGATTGAAAATGGAAAGAGGAAAGCACTTACCCTGTGGCTAAAATATATATGGTGAGTTGTAGAGTATCTCAGGAAAACATGGCTTAAAGTTTGACTCATCATAATAAAAAGTAACTGCTTTACTCTGGGCTGGGTTTTCCATTACCTGACCAAGAGACAAACTGAGTTTTATCAACTAATATGTTATTTTTAGTGGAAAGTTGCCTGGAAGGGAAAATTTGCTTTTGACAAGAAATGAAAGCAGCAAATAGATACTGATAGGCCTGGGAAGTTAGGCTGACCTCAGAACAGTACATTTTCTACAAATTGCCAAGAGAGTTTCCTATTTGAAGCAACAGAACACCATGATATTTTTTTTTTCATCCTCAAAGGAAAAGCTGAATTCTGACTCATGCTTCCTTGAACAGACTGAAGAAATTATTTCTTTATAAGAGTACTAAAATCAGAAGCTCTTCTTTTACCAACATATTTGACAAAAACATTTGGTAAGCATTTTTGATAAGCAGATGCACAGCACTCAAATTGCTCTTTCTCACACACTTTGGTGACTTAATTAATTGAGAATTGCTTCCTCCCCTGTGCCTCCCCAACATGACACATTTCTTTATCTGGGAATTATTTTGCTCATAGAGATCAATCACTTAGTCGCTCACTAAATATTTATTGGCATTGTTCCAGAAGTTGGGGATAAACAGATGAATAAGAAGAGGTTTCACCCTCCATTTGCTGACAGGCTGTGGGAAAAACGTCTGAAACAGACACCTTGAATTTAAGATGTGCTAAGAAAAAAAACATCAAGCCAAGTAAACACTTTTAAATACCTAGTTTTAGCCATAGAGATAACAGAAAAGAAGGACATTTGGTTGTATGTAACTCTTCTCTTTTTCCTTTGGTGCTATACATCTACGATATGTTTTGTTGGCACACAGAGAAATGGCCGTGTGTTTTGTAGTGCTTCTTACATTAAATATTGAGAAATTTCTTAAAATTTAAAGGGCAGTAGA